CAAAACAAGGTCTTCCTGAAACTAAACAGAAAAGGGACGATTGGAGTAATAAAATGTTAAATAATAGATGGCATTTTACAGAATAAGATTGAACGTTATAGTAGGGGAGCCCAAGAGGGGATTTTCTGTAGTTACTCAAGCGCGGCAGATTAACATAAAAGAGGTTACCTTGCACTCTATTGAGTACTTTCACCACAATATAAGTCTTCTATATATAGGGGCGCGTCTAGGGAAGCCGATTAAAATATTTAAAAAATGTTTTGATAAGGTAGAAATAATAATAATATCATCATAAACTTTATAGTCGATTTTTGCCTCTTCGGCTTGTGCAAATCGGCAGATTATTGAATTGGACACTTTTCAGGATGTGACTAGCCTACCACACCTTAATCTGACGGTTTCAAGTATTTCTACCTTATAAAAACATTTTTTAAATATTTTAATCGGCTTCCCTAGACGCGCCCCTTTATATAGAAGACTTATATTATGGTGAAAGTACTCAATAGAGTGCAAGGTAACCTCTTTTATGTTAATCTGCCGCGCTTGAGTAACTACAAAAATCCCCTCTTGGGCTCCCCTACTATTAGCGCTACGTCAATTTTCCAAATAATGTACATACTATTAAAAACACATTTTATTACTAAGCGTCCATTCGACTCACTATGACTGACCTTTCTGACTTTGAAATCGAGTTTGATTTTATAAATTACGTGTCTCTATTTCATTATACACGTCTGTATTTCAATTAAGTTAACAATGCCACTTGAAATATTTCATCGCACAAGTGGGGCATTCACGAAATGTGTTACGGCAGCGTTTTACTACTTATTTACTAGTTGACAAAGGCTTTATTATTAAACTAGCTGTGTCTTGTGGTTTCACCCATGTTAAATTTGATTATACATATAGGTATGCCTGTTTCTTATACCTATTCTCTATACGATGAGTATTTGACCAAAGTTACTGAGATTAAAGCACCTAAACATATTATAAGCACCAGTTTTACAATAATGTATGGAAGTCTGCCCGATTTGTTGACATCTACGATTACTGCTTCGCTCCTAGCATGATCATATATAGCCTATAGCCCTCTTCAATAAACGTGCTATTTAATGCAAAAAGAATTTTCAAATCGGATTAGTAGTTCCTGTGATTAGCGCGTTCAAACAAACAAACAAACAACCATCAAACAAACAAACAAACGAACTCTGTCGCTTTAAAATATTAGTATAGATAGATTTTTAGAGCGTGCACGTGGAAACGCTATTTCTGTCTGAGGGTCGTCAAGGCGGTCCTCGAGACTTGTTCGCGGTGCACAAGTCAATTAACTTCTGAAATGTCACGTTGGACAAATATAACGAGATTCGTTGAAAAATACTGTTAGAATTTCTTTTAGCTAATATTTTTCTGTTCGTTTCGTATTTTAATCCTTTGTATTAAAGAGGCTTACTTTATTGCCATTTTATTGATATTATTTTAATATTTGTGTAAATAGCTATCGTATTACATATTTTTTTCTTGTATAAAATATTGTTATATTAGATATAACGAGGGTACACATAGATTAAGTTATTTTTATAAATATGTATGTAAATTAAAACTTTCAAAATATCAAGCGTTAAAATTAAAGATTAATAAAGTAAAACGTAGAGAGCGAAATCAACATACTCGTACATACAATATACATATTAAGTTAGCCTTTTACTAAAGAAATATTAATAAGTATTCTTAAATTAAAAAAAATCCTAAAAAACTCTTTGTGATCACAGACTATTTAGATATTTATACACGAGTATGGTTACAGTTAAACTACTTTTGACTAAAGAGTTTGGTCAAAATTAGTTTTGACTGCAGGCCTGCAATGGATGTTACAGTCAAAGCCGAACTACGCTTAGCCATATAGACAACTTCTAAAGCGTTTTTTTTTCTAAAAGTTCTAGTCATTTATCGCTCGGCTCGTGTTTTGTTACTTGTTGTCGTCACTGTTCTAACCAAACCTAACCCAGAACGAAATAAAGCCAATATTTTGTATTGAAAACTACTTTTGACCAACCTCTTTAGTCAAAAGTAGTTTCGACTAAAAAATAGTTTTCAACGTAACATATAAACCAATATAGATATGATATTCTATATGAAACAAACTTAAGCGATATCCCAAGGTTAAGTTTATAGAGTACTAGCGACTAGCCCTTGCTTCGCTCGGGTAGGTACAAAAGTTACTAGGTCTATCTAGGTACTAAAAGTTCCGTGATACATTGTTTTCATAATAATTGTAGGTACAACTCTACTGGTTGACGCGGCGCACGCCACTAAAGCGGCCCAGTCGGCATGATTTTTTTACACAAAACCTAATTGAATTATACGTTTAGTCTTTCTTATGAATCCATCCGTCCATTGGTAAAAACCGTTTGGTAAAATTTTAAAAATAAAAAAATTGGTAAAATTAGTTCGGTAGTGTTAGAGTTTATCGCGTTCAGACAGACAGATAGACGTGATGAAGAAACTTTGTTTTATAATACGTAATGATCTATAAAATTAAGTATATAATATAACTGGAGTTAAAACAGATAGACGTTTTTAGCGTAGATAGTAGGTTCTCCTTAGTTCCTATATTACCAAACTTTCACATTGAAGCGTTAAGTTTAGTTTATTAGTGAATTTGCTAGAATTTTAGTCCGTTCGTTGCTGTTATGGATAAGTAGGCATTACAATTTAAAGTTATTTTTAGAACTTAAGCTTCGATATCTTTGGGCTATTTTTTGTAACCAGAAAATAACACAACAACAAAGGAACTTGAGTCAGCACAGTGTTATACTTTTTGATAAGCTAAGTTACATAATCGTGCTGATTAAATGTAAATGGAGAAATAAAAGAACTTTTATATAGGTCATGATATCACATACGTACATATATACAAAACAAACAACTATTTGTTGCTTTAAAAGAGAATCGATGCCGCTTCCAAAACTGACTACAATCAACAATGACCATATTTCTCTGTAGGCAATATGTAGGTTTTTGTATCGTGTCGAGTCCAGATTGAGTGTTTCATGCATATTTATTACTTACATTATTGCTAGGAGTATAAAAAAGAACTTGATTATGAAACTAAAAAACATGGAACTATTTGAGAATTTACATTAAGCTATGTATAATGCATGTGTGGATATAAAAAAAATATTTATTTTATTACTTATATCCAGAACATCACTACATATTATAAAATAAAGTCCCCCGCCGCGTCTGTCTGTCGGTTTGAAAGCGATAAACTCAAAAACTACCGAATGGATTTTCATACGGTTTTCACCATTAGATGGAGTGATTCATGAGGACGGTTTACGTGTATAATTCATTAAAGTTTTGTGTAAATTGGCTGAAAAAATCATGCCGGCTGGGAGATTTATTTGCGTACGCCGCGTAAGTTTAATATTACAGAATTATTCCTCTTAAAAAGATCTTTCTAATTAACTGTAGGAACGCTATGTGCCTAGAGACGCACCTGAGGCTGAGTGTAATAGTCACTAGCAATATTATAAAACCTATAGCGCTGGAACCTACGAAAATATTGGCTTAGTTAGGAATAAGGCTATAAAAGACAAACAGATTTTTTTTAAACATTCGCATTTAATTTTTTTTTTAATTTAATATAAACATTTTTAGCATGCGTATGCGTAGCGTGGATCTTAATGTTTAAAGTCATTTAATTTATGATTTAATATTATTTGCTCGCTTCGCTCGGGTGCGTCGTCTAGATACTGCGAACTGCTATTGAGGACTTTTTTGTAAGCGTTATTAATTACTACATGTACAATGTTTTGATGTATCTCTCAATGTTTTGCCAGCGCTATCTTCGTAAGCGTTTGACAACAGTTTTTTTTGATAAAACACCGTGATAGTTCAGCCATCTTGTATAATAAGTATATTTACAAATTATACACAAACACGGAACACCCTCTTCGTTTAACGCTTTTTCTATCAGTGAAAATCGTATCAAAAACTGTTACAGTGGTTTAGAAGGAGTAAGAGGGGATTCAGACAGAGGCAGACAGCGACTTTGTTATATCCATACTTATTTCATACTTAATATTATAAATGTGAAAGTGTGTTTATTTGTTTGTCCTTCTTTCACGTCGAAATGGAATGACGGATTGGCGTGATTTTTTTGTGTGGAGATAGTTGGAGGGCTGGAGAGTGACATAGGGTACTTTACTACTGCTTTGCCGGGGGAGATTATATCATTCCCACGGGAACACGTTAAGTATAGGTATAATATATAGTCTCTCTATTCCATACTAATCGTTAAAACGTAACTAGGGATGAACCCGAGCGAAGCGAAGGTGAGCCGCTAGTACTTCGTATAAATAAACGACTGGTGCTCGAACTAAAATTCGGATTTTGCTATGAAAATAAGAAAATATAGAGCACTAAGCTGTTAAATATGTTAATTTAGAACTCTACTACAAATAGTTTTTGCGTAATAAATAATTGAACAACTCGGCCGAACCAGTTATTGTATTTTCCTGTGGGAATGAGAGATTTTCCTGTAGTAAAAGGATTTTCCTGTATCCTAACAATATCACTACACAATATTTGTGTACGGATACAACAGTTGTTGTATATAAGATCATAGTTTTTAAAAAGGAATTCATAAACAGATTTAGCATTGTTAGTATTTTATTATATTTACGTATGCGCATGAATGATGTGAAATTAAAGATAAATATTTTAAGCTCTAATTGGTAAAGAATAAAAGAAAAGGTTTGGAGAATTCTAATCTATATATAAAGAAGCAAAGTCAAAAGATTTCAGTAGCTTCTTCAGTTAGTTTTTTAATATAATGAATAATAATAGTCCAATTTCGGTCACTGCACGAATCTGTCTATTTAAATATCTTATTCGTCATAGTTGAAGTTTCGACATATACCCAACAAAACGAGGCTTATAATTAGACAAAGGAACTCCATTATAAATTAAAACAACATGATTATAGCACAAATTACCTGAAAACGTAGACATGCCAGACAATAGTGACAGTCCCGAGTGGCGACTGTGCGAAGGATGGATCATCCCGATTGAGCAAATCTCGGAATCCTCGAATTGCCACATATTGAAGCCAAAAACAGTGTTATTGTTAACTATTCAACAAAACCACAATCGATGTATGGGAGTTCGTGTCGCAGGTCTATCGGTATCGGTATTTAATCGATTAATACTTTTAAATATGGCAAATTTCTGCTCTTTATCACATAAAAAGTAAATACTGTCATATTTAATGTTGTATACAGCTATGCATGAAGTCGATACGCGCGCACGGTTCTGTGTTAGCGTCGCGACTAAGGGAAGTTGCCTCCCCCGAAATCTCCACCCTCGGCTCGCGTGGGCGGTGACGTCAGGGGAGCCCTGGGATCTCGTCCTCACGATTGCTCAAATTATTTTTATTGATAATTTTGTGCTTTTAAAATACCACATAAAAAGTAAACAGTTTTTTAAAACTACATAAAATGTTTTTACAAAAAAGGCACAATCAGAACCCTTATTTCATCATCATGACCTGAAAGGTCTATGCCCATTTAACTCATAAGACTTAAAGAAATATTTCATATGCTAAAATGCTAGATATTAGATACTGAGATAAAATAACGAAAAATAAAATGTAGGACTGGGCTCTCGATAAGTGTAACTGAGGAGTAAAAAATTTTAATGTACAGGCAGACAAATAATTCTGTGAGGAATCTTTGGATCGGTTTAAAAATGAGATAGATTATTTAGGTCAATAATTACATTATTATACTAAAATCGAAAAATGTTGTGTCAAGTCTTCAATTTCTGGTAATTACTATTAAACTTACTTTTATTATTGCCAAAATATTTTGAAGAAAATTTTATTTAATAAACAGTTAGGTACATTGAATACCTATTTTTTGGGATAGGGTATATTTTTAGCTACTAAAAATTTACTTTGTTTTTTAAATATATTTGAGAAATATTATGAAATACAAACAAAAATGCCAGGAATAAATTAATTTTACTATAGGTAAACCTAAGAAATTAAATAAGTGAAAACATATATTTTGGTAGTACAGAACCTATGGTTTGAATCAGACATGCAATTTTTCAATCTTTTTATATTGTATTGAGAACATTATGAGAGGAATTTGAATGTTTGCTTAAAACATGTTCCTTTCATGAGGTCAGTTTCAATATTTAACTGTTGATAATGTTCCCATCTATAATAGCAAGCAATAGCTAGCTAGTATCTAGAACAAGGCTTAAAGCTCTAAGAAGAAATTGAGTATAGTCATACATCTTAACCATTTTGTTCATAAAATCAACTACAATCAGACAGTAAGCTCCCTTACTTATTTTTTTTTACTTAGGTTTTGTATTGAACATTTTTAACAGTTGTAATATGGTGTTGGACCACTATAGAAAATCATTGGAACTCAAAATAATGAATATAAAAATTAATAAATAAATTACAAGACATGTACACCCTAAAATTATATTACTCCATTCAATTCTTATTAGAATAAAATTTATATGTGACCTATAATATAAAAATAGAACATCTACTCACAATAATTGAGTAATATCCTCATGCCAATTACATTAATGAAAATGTAGAAATAAAACGTTTCATTATGTTTTTTTTCTATTGCAGTAATTTTGCTGTATAGAAGATATTAAAAGCAAAAATTTTATAGCATTGTTTGATATTATTATTTTATCATTATAGGAATAAAAGCTTACCCAAATCCTTAAACAACTTTTTGTAATCTCCAAGATCGTTCTGCTCCAGCCACTCATCGACCTCTGAGCTTTCATCTTCAAATATTTCACTTAAAACTATCCTAGTAATGTAAACTAATGTTAAGAGAAAGAAAACTGTACCACAGTACTGCACCTGCTTAAGCATTTTTACGACTTTTAGTCATAATAACATATTTTATTGAAAAATAAACAACAATCTACAACCCCTACAAAAATGTAAGTTTGACAATATTTTGACATTGACGTAAATGTCAATTGTCAACCACTTTGTACGTTTTCCACTTCGTTTTAAATTTTAAATAATTGATTGCTAGTATGATTACCTATAATAATGTTAATGTAATGAATAATGTTATTCAATTTAAAATAAAGAAGACATAATTTAATTTAAGTTTTCAATAAATTTGCTGACGATTTCCATATAATGCTAAATAGTTAACGTGTGTTAATCTTGTCGTGGTAGGGGGGCTGTTAAGGCGTCCGGCAATTCAGCCGGGCGCGAAGCCAAGAAACGCACTGGGAGTGACCTGGTGAGTGGTGGCCCACTTCGGTGGGCAATGTACCAAATACCATATGGGTTGCTTCTGGTACTTCTCTGACAGCAGAGTGGACCGTTGGAGCTACCCCATGGTTGCCCTGGTCTGCTTCGGCAGAACTGCCGTTGGGGCGTCGTGATTGAATGCGTACAGCGTAAGCGATCAGCTGTGACGCTCCAGTAAAACGGGGAATTTTTGTTGGGTTTTAGTGGGTAGTACTGGCTTTTCTAGCCGGCGAGTCCCACATAACCGCCTGTATGTTATACTGGTGGTATGCGTAGGTCCTAATTTTACAACAAATTGCTCCGTTTCTATATGTAATCTAATAAGATTTAGTGTTTTTTTTTGTCTATTTTATACCGGTCATTCTATACCTACATAACGTGTATTCTCCATTGTACGCGACATTGGCGAAGTAAATAGTGCCCAAACGGCGCTCCTACAAGCCATTGAACTTAAGAATTGAATTGTAAATGCCGCTCCCACAAGGGTCAGGAAATAAAATATCCTTCTTTTGTTTCCAGAAGTGTAGCATACAAATAGGAAGGAAAGCAAAGAAATTATAATTCACTACCTACTTCATTGCTTCTCAGCCATAAAATCCATTCTTGAACATACATATGTATTTTCTGATAAAATAGAATATTTTAATTGGCTGTGCATAAAAACTTTCACATAAATCCAATTTTATACGAGACTGATTTAAAAACATCTACATAACTGATTTTTAAAGCCCTATACTAATTCAATTTGTCTTTAACCTGCACTTTTTGTCAATACAATTTGAAATTTCAGTTATGGTATAATAAAGGGAGGTGGAAAATTAAAAAGGAAAATAAAACAAAAAATGAATGTTAAAAAGTTAAATACATATATTTTATAGACATTATCACAAGGGGTGCTTCGACAGTCTAAAGCCAGAATAAAGCTAGGTGTGTTGATCACATCAAACTGAGAAAATGAGGTGAACTACTCAAGCAGAATTCTAATTCTTCAATTTTATTTTGTCTGCAAGGGAGCAAGAAAGACCTGTTCCATCAGGTTCTACATTCAATTCCTCAACAGTGCTATCATTGATAACCATGGAAAATCTTTTTGAACGTAGTCCTCCAAGTGGTGGAAGATTAACACCAAGATCTAAAGCCTTGACAAAATTGCCACTGGGATCAGCAAGCATGCGAACCTGAGAAATAGATTAAACTTGAATTTCAAAGTGATCATTAAGAAAATAATAAGTCGATATTGTTTTAAAAATAAGTTATAACACTAACTTATAGGGACGATGTTGCAAGTTTTAATCAATAATACTATTTAATATTCACCAAGGGCAAGCTTATAATTAATGTAAACATATTATCAAGAACTGAAATGGGTTGGAGGTCAATCAATACAGCTCACTAGTCACTAGCAACAAGACTTATCTACATTGTTTAATTATGTAGTGATAAAGACAAAAGCAATGCTAGTATATCTTAATATATTTTTTTTGTTAAATACCAATTATTTCACTAAAAAACAACTATGTTTTGATTACTATTTATAATCAATTAAAATATTATCTAATTTCAACATTAGTAATTACTTGTTTCTTATTAGTTACCTTTCCTTTAGTATTGTGTTGGGCTCCCCAAGCCGCCATCACATAAGGATCATTTACAGACACACAAACAATTTCGGCGACTCCTTCAGACTTCATCTTATCAGCACTCTGAACGTATCCTGGCAGGTGTGTCTTGGAGCAGCCAGGAGTAAAGGCGCCGGGTACAGCAAACAACACTACCTTCTTCCCAGCGGTCAAATCGCAAATATTCACTTTGTTAGCTGGAGAATCTTCGAACAAATCTACAGCCGGTAATTTGTCGCCAACCTTAAATATACATATAAAATATAATTACAATCAGTTATGTAATTTTTCTGATAGAAAATGTTCTTATTACTACCTTAATTGGAGCCATGGTGCATAAAGTCGTGTGTATCGCTCTAACGGATGCTTGTTTGGCGAATGCCGAAACTCCTCGAATAGTTGACACAACTGTGAAAAACATTTGTATTTGACTGGCTGCTTATTGTTTTATAATCTTTAATTCCGATGACCTTACAACTTTATTTATCTATTGCCTAACTTAACCACAGACTATTAATATTCAAGAATCAACATTAAATTTAATTTTTCCTGTCTATATAAAATTGATTATAATAGGAAAATGTTACCATAATACAAAATAAACCTTACCTATCTATACATATAATAAAATTGTAACTAAGCTGAATCTGTACATTACATATTTTTTAGAAAATCTTATTGAAATAAATATTATTACCGATACAGAGGCCGAATCTATAGGTTTTAGAATTTTTGTCTGTATGTCTGTCTGTTACCGCATCACAAAAAAACCACAGGAGTAATTTTGATATAATTTGGTATGGTGACAGCTGGTTATCCCGGTCAACATGTAGGACACTTTTTACCGCGGGAAAATATCTCATTTTTGAGAAAAAATACAAAAATTGCAATGTAAGAGTAATATGGTAAAACCTAAGAATTTGATTTTTGGTCATCTGAACGCTGGCAGAGCCGCGGGCAATACTAGTCTATACATATAAATGTATGATATTCCTTCAAACACTCAAATGTTACTCATAGTATGTTAATAGTCGATTAATAATCGATTGTTCATCAATTACCTAAGTAAATTCGAAATTACGGTAAATAAGTATATTTCATTCAAAACAAATTATGTAATCAATATTTTATATTATTATGATAAAATAAAACATGGGAGAGACATGACGGGAGACATAGACCATGATTGCTGTAAAGTATTCGAAACGTCGCGTCGGGTACAAAAATCCAAATAAATCCGCGTAAAAATCCGAAAAGAAAGTTTTATTTAAAATGTCAAATATTTGCGTAAATATAAGAAAGTATTATGATAATACTAAAACAATAGCAAAATTAGATAAAAATAGAAACCGTTCTTTAATAAAAATATTTCCTCAATACTTTCATTATATAATGGTACTCTCAAAAATCTGTCTGTCTACCAACCAAAATTGTGAGAACAAAATCAACACATGTAATATAAATTATTTTAATACAGAAACTTGTAATATTTGCTATTTTTAATAGTCAGTTACAGCCTTGTTAGTTAGACAACAATAAGAAATAAAATAAATCTTTTCTTAAATTAGTCAGTCATTTTGACGTTTATTTAGTACTAGCGACTCACCCTCGCTTCGCTCAGGTTCATACCTAGGTACATTTTTTTTTACGCGGAATCCTAATTCTTTTACCTAAATAAAAGTAGCCTAAGTTACTTCTTATAACATCAACTACGTGCCAGTGAAAGTCCCGTCAAAATCGGCTCAGCCGTTTTGGAGATTAGCCGGAGCAAACAGACAGACAGACAAAAATGTTAAAAATTGTATTTTTCTTATAAATACCGTATATAATTTCATATGCATTTAATAAAACGCTGTTATTTTGACATTACAAGCAAGCACTTCAATTTATCTGTATAGATAATCGATTACATAAACGATTTCATTTATTTGCCTTCGATTGTGGTCGATTAACTAAACAATAGATTAATCGATTATTAATATCACTAGTTATTCTCATGAAATAACATGAAACCTTATTTTTTTCATTATACTTTCGTTCTGCTGATATTTTATAAAGTACTGATTAGTGAAAGACTCATTTCCAAACTTTTTTTATTTCTTAAAATAAACTTTGGCATAAAGTTAAACATTATTATTTATCTGTAAGTAACGTAAAACTTGATCGTTTGTCGTTTTACATTTTGACGGTTTCATTGACGTTGTTTGATTATTCTCGATACAGTGTATTTTCTATTCTTAATTTTAATTATAATATGATCGTCAATAAGTTTCTAGTTTCTTAGTTTTACTAAAATATACTAAGATTTTCTCGTGATTTTGTTCACACCACAATGGAAGCGCCTCCAATGGATACGATATATCAGGCCATTAGTGCCTTATACGATAACCCCAATAAAATTGAAAAGGAAAAGGCTTCTCTTTGGTTAGCAGATGTACAAAAATCCGTAAGTATTTTGTTCTCTTCTATTTTGTTTACTGATTATCTTTTAAAAAAAGTCTAAATATATTATAATATTTTTTTACGCACCACGTTTACTATTTTTCAGATACACTCATGGAAAATAGCTGATCAACTTTTGCAACAGAAAAAAGATGTTCAATCATGTTACTTTGCGGCGCAGACAATGAGATCGAAAGTGCAGCACAATCTTTCGGAATTACCTGAAGAAGCTGTGATTTCGCTACGGAATTCCTTGATAGCACATTTAGAAGGCATCTCTACAGATACTACTCCTGCCATTCTTACCCAACTTTCACTGGCTTTAGCGAATTTAGCCCTTCAAATGACTACCTGGCCGAATTGTGTTAGTGACCTTATTAAGTTGTTTTCAAACAAAAATGACTATGCCCTATTAGAAGTGTTAACAGTTTTACCACAAGAAATTGACTCCACAAGCTTAAAACTTGGCGAAAACCGTCGAGCACAAGTTAAATCAGAGTTGCAAACAAATTCCCAAATAGTGACATTTTTCCTTAAGGAATGCTTAAATAATTCCCAAAATACTCATATAGCACTAAAAGTAGTTAAGTGTATGACTTCTTGGATTCAAGTTAAGGCTATGAGTATACAGGAAGTGCCTCAAAATGCTGTCATAGGATTTAGTTTACAGATATTAAGAGATCATAATTCCATAAACATGCTACATGATGCCGCTTCAGATTGTATTTGTGCAATACTTCACTGTATAGAAGACAATAACAATAACCCAGAGGTAGAAAAATTGTTATTTGAAAGTGTTTCATCTTTGGAAGAAAGCTACCACATGGCAGTAGCTCACGAGGAAGAGGAGAAAGCTGCAAATTATGCCAGGGTTTTTACAGAACTAGCAGAGACGTTTTTAGAAAAAATAATATTGAGTACTGCAAATGGTGATACTCATTTTGCCATGAGGTCTTTGGAGTTGGTACTTGTTTGTGTTGGACATCACTATTATGATGTAAGTAGTTATAATAATTTTATACAATTATTTGCTATATTAAAGTTATAATATACATACAATAAATACAGTATAAATAGGTCTTCTTTTACTCCAAAAAAACTTCTAAGAAATATTTTGACCAAAAGAATCCATTTACTACAATATTAAGCTTTCTAATTAATTCATATTTTATTACAGGTAGCTGAAATTACATTCAACCTTTGGTACCGTTTATCTGAAGAAGTGTATGAAAGAGACTATCAGCCACTAACAGATGCCTTCAAGCCTCACATAGAGAGGCTCATTGAAGCTCTTACCAGACATTGCCAATGTGAGCCTGATCACACCAAACTACTGGATGAGGGAGATGAGTTCTTTGTAAGTTTAAAACTGCAAGTGAATTGATAATTCCCAATGTCAAGCTTGGTGTAATGTATTTAAGTTATCTATATATACAGATAAATAAAATTGAAGTATCTGTTTGTCAAAATAACAGCTTTTTACTAATTGCATATGGAATTATTTTTAAGAAAAACACAATTTTTAACATTTTTGTCTGTCGGTCTGTCTGCCTGTTTGTTCCGACTTTCACTAGCAGGTAGCTGATGTTATAAGGAGTAACTTAGGCTATTTTTATTTCAGTAAAAGAATTAGGGTTCTGTTAAAAAAAATGTACCTAGGGACAAAACTGAGCAAAGCGAGGGTGACTCGTTAGTTAAGAATAAGAATGAAATTGCTTCTTTTATTATCTATTTAAAATATTTAAACAAGTAATTCTTATATATTTATTTATACCAGCAATTTCAGAAACGGCTCTTACGATTTCGCTAAAATTTTGTACGTGGGGGTTTTCAGGGGGCGAAAAATCGATCAAGATTAGTCTTATGTCTAGGAAAACGCGTGTTTTCGAGTTTATGTGGTTTTTTTTCGCATTATGCCACGCAAAATATGGTCTTGACCTGGACTACCAGCTACCCAATACCCAATTTCATCAAAATCTCTCCAGTGCTTTTTCTGTGATGCGGTCATAGACAGATAGATAGACAAAAATTCTAAAAACTATAGTTTCGGCCTCTGTATCGATAATATGTCTATCTCAATAAGATTTTCCAGAAAATATTAAATGTACAGATTTAGGTTAGTTACAATTTTATTATATGTATAGATTTTTCATCATATTTGTTTGACCATATTATATAATTAAGATTCTTATATGAAGTTATAAAAAAAACATCAATCACCCTCTTCAGTTCCGTTTAGAATTTAGGATATAATATTCTATAAGCGAATGTCTTAATGCTAATTTTTATTGAATATTCTTGAGTTTTACTTTTATGTTTTCAGGAGTTCCGGTTGAAAGTAATGCTTCTCATTAAGGATGTGGTATTCATAGTGGGTTCTAGCTCAGTTTTTAAAAAGATGTTTGCCGTCCTCCAGGCAGACCTCCCTTGGGAACAGACCGAGGCAGCACTTTTTATGATGAATGCTGTTGCTAAAAATATATTACCGTAAGTATTTATAATACTTATGTCTACTAAAATTATAAAAAAAAACACTTCAATAAAGATAGTAAATATAGTTTGCTACAACTTTGCCAAAATATGAAAGTGAATGGAAAGGTGTTACCAGTTATAGCTACTTAAATAGACATAAAATATTTAATTTAAGTTTAAATTTCACTTTATTTTAGCGCAAGCTGCTTTAACCATAAAACTTAATTTCTTTATTTCAGAGACGAATATGAATATGTGCCAAAAGTGGTAGAAGCAATCTTATCTATGCCTGAAAATGCTCACCCCGCTGTCAGAAAAACTTGCATTCTATTGCTCGGTGAACTGTGTGAGTGGATTGAGAGACACCCGGAATGCCTGGAGCCCTGTCTGCAGTGTCTCCTCAGAGCATTACATGACCCTAAATTGGCGAATGCTGCAGCTACCGCTTTACAGGTTTCTTTTTTGTTTTAACATACATTATTGTATATATGTTTTGATTAGCTTTTGTTGTATGTAGTCTCTTGTACTATGGCAATAATATAATTTTTTTTCTTTATCTGTGAGTTAAGTTTAAGTAAAATTGATTTAGTTTTGTTTTAGACGTTGGTCGGTATAAACAGGTAACTTTTTTTTACAATTGCTTGGGTTTTCATACTAGAAGTATTACAATTGATTTTTGTATAATTTTATCAATTTTGGTATTATCACAGTTGTGTAATTAAAAAAACTGTTTGATGAAATGAATGATTCATGAAAATAGAATACATGATTTCTATTCATTAAATACAATCAAATTGATTAATGAAACAACAACAAAGCTTAGTAAATAGTTTATTAAATAATGTAAATGTTGGTTGTTCATATGTTGAGTGTCCGTGTGTGTTGCAGAACATCTGCGCGGCGTGCCGCAGCCAGGCGGCGGAGCACGCGGCGGCGCTGCTGGCGGCGGCGCGCGCGGCCGACGCGCTGGCGCTGGCGCCGCACGCCGCCGCCACGCTGCTGCGCGCGCTAGCCGCCGCGCTCGGCCGCCTGCCGCACGACCAGGTCGCACCGCACTCTCACTCTTTACATTTACATCACACCTTCATATATAAACAGAAAAAAAATATGAGGACACTATGTGCTCTGTTTACTTCTAACACAGTCGACTAAATAGGGAAATCATTCAGAACGTGCAGGGGACGTGTAAGTTAATCGTTCCCGACTGTCATACTTATTTTTAACCGACTTCCAAAAAGGAGGAGGTTCTCAATTCGTCGGAATCTTTTTTTTTTCTTTTATGTATATTCATCGATTACTCGAAGACGCCTGAACCGATTTGGATATTTTTTTTTATTTCAAAGGGTATACTTCCCAGGTAAATTTTATCGAAATCGGTCAAGCGGTTTTTTAAAAAATCAACAATAAATATAATTTTTAAATAAATTGTTTAATCGAATATGTTATTAAAAACTTTCTTCTTACAAATTACCTCCTTATTACGATTGCACTAAAAATTTATGACACATGAGCTGAGTTTATATTAGTTGGGATTTATACCAAAGAAAGAAGAATTATGTAGAATGATTATAGCATAGTCTTACATTACATACAATTGATTAACGGAATGCATCTAGTTAGAGCAATAGTGTAGGAGAAACGCTGGTGAAGTATCAATCATGTAACATAATATACAAATCATTCAAAATTAAACTGAACCTTTGACATTACAGTTGACGCTCGCCATCCGCGAAGCGACATCGTTCCAGCTGGAGGCGCTGCGCGCGCTCGTGGCGGAGGGCCCCGGCGCGGCGGGCGCGGGGGCCCCGGCGGGGGGGCCCGGGGGCGCGGGGGACCCCGCGCTGTGGCTGGACCGGCTGGCGGCGCTGTTCCGCGACGTGGACGTGCCGCCGGCCGCCGTGGCCGCCGCCGGCACGCACCCCTGCCTGCCCGCCTTCGAGGACGCCTGGCCGGTCGTGCACCAGGTCATGGATAAGTTAGTGATTTTTATTTACTTTACTTATATTTTTATATCAGTGGTTCCTACAAATCATTTATAATTTGAGTTCACTAACATTTTATTTTCGCTTTGTTCGGGTTTGCTTTTAGGTTTCTTACAGTAGTTTTTGCGTTACTCTAGGTGCATAGTTTATCTGTGTACAAAATTTAATCAAAATCAGTCCAGTCGTTTTACAAACAAAACATAGTCTGCTGTATTGTATTTACAATAACGCCACTTTGTTTATTGTGTTTCGCTCATCGAGCCCTTTCATTTGATGTCCATATCAGGAGGGTCACTATGGGAAAAATAAATTATCATTTTATAACGTCCGCCATATTGGATTAAAATTGTAACGTCCGCCATATTGGATTAAAAATGGCGGCACTTAGGTAATCTGTGCAGTACCTAGAACCAAACATGTGTGCTAAATTTTAGCTCATTGAGACACCGAGAAGTGGGTCAAATTTAACTAGTAAGATTCGGTTACAGACACCGCGGGACAAGTAAAACTTAATAAAAGGTGGTAATATTTTTTATTTTTATCGATATAAAACAGGTGTCGTATGTATAGGTGTATAGAAATACTGGATTAAATATCTCGAATATAGACATCACACTGCACTAAAGGGAGATTTAATGATTAATTTCACTATTTCTGTTGTATCGTAAAACTTGACTTCGATCATTGTCTCCAGATACGTGAACGAGAGCCGCGTGATGGAGCGGTCGTGCCGCTGCGTGCGCTTCATGGTGCGCGCGGCGGGGCGCCACGCCGGCGCGCTGCTGCCGGCGCTGGCGGCCGCGCTGCCGGCGCTGTACGCGCGGCGCGCGCACTCGTGCCTGCTGTACCTGGCCGCCGTGCTGGCCGACGCGCTGGCGCCGCACCGCGCGCTGGCGCCGCTGCTGCACGCGCTGCTGCCGCAGGCGCTGCGCCTGCTGGCGGCGCCGCGCGGCCTGCAGGACAACCCCGACACCGTGGACGACCTGTTCCGCCTGTGCGTGCGCTTCCTGCAGCGCTGCCCCGCCGCGCTGCTGGCCGACGGCGTGCTGGCGCAGGTGCTGGGCGTGGCGGGCGCCGCGTGCGCGCTCGACCACCGCGACGCCAACTGCTCGCTCATGAAGTTCCTCTTCGACCTCACGCGCCTCGCCAACTCCACCAGGCCCGACGACCAGGATTCCAAAGGTACAAAAAATACGACTTGACTTATGAAATATGTGTAGTTCAGTTGGGATTAAATTAACATATTTAGAAGTCATAGAACATAGTTTGAATATATTTTTTTCTTTATTTTTTCGAGGATATCATGGCACACAATGTGCAGCAGTTATAATGTTTAAAAAAAATATCTGTAAATTGAACTCGCTTTTTGACGCTACGTTAATTTACGTTTAATACATTATGTTACGGTCCGGACTCACTGGAGAATTTTGCAAAAGCCTGCGATACCATCTTAGTGGAGTGCTGTCGTATTAAATTGAACAACATTTGTATCATACTACTAGTAAAATTTAACTAAAATTTCCTAAATTCTTCCTCTTTATAATTAGTATAGAAACCAAACCTTCGAAAAACTATTATGTATATAGGACCATCAAAACAAATCAAATGAGCATGAATGAGGGTATTGAAAAATTTCACTATCTACCCCCTAGTTTCATCATGAGACCAGTTTGAACCAAATTTTTTTACTTTACTTTGAATTTCTATTATTATTGATAGACAACAGCTGTATACACACTGTGTTTAAGATACCAAGTATTATAAAAGCACTGAGTACATATTGTCACAGAAAGTTTTACTTACCCCGATACTTTATTATTTGTTTTGATTATTATTCTGATTTGAAACTCGATGAAATGGAAATGTAACATTAAAAAGAGACAAACACATAAATATATTAGATTATGCCGGCGAAAGAATGAGATAGAATACATGATTGATGAATTGTTGCCATGGTAACCTTTGTTTGTTCGTTGTCTGACAAATGATAATATTATATTCTTTCTGTATAAATAAATGGTTGTGATATGCCTTATTTAATTATTGATTTGTTTTAATTTTGGCAAATATCGCGATTAAAAGAAGTTTTACTTCAACCGCGCGTAAAGGTTAAACGTACCCATTTTTTTCTATATAATTCCTTGTACAAAAATATTACTAAATTAAGCCCTCTACGACCGCAGACACGCCGGCGTGTCAGTTAGCAATAGATTTCTTAGAATTTTAATTAATTTCTTAGAAATTTACCCGTTAAGCTTTTATTTTTTATTTATTTTAATATCAGTAAATAATTTAGAAAATACATAATTGTATTATTTCATGTTGAATCTGTATACGTTCACGATTAGTTAGAAGTTAGTTATTAAAAAAAATGTTGAAAATGATAGAGAGTATATTTGAATTTCATTTATTTCCTATACTAAATGATAGTTGCTCAATAAATATTATTATATTTAATAAATATAAGATTCCTATATGGTTGTTTAATATATACCCAATTATATTAATTTCTGTAGGATAACCTAATTTTTAGTGAATATATTTATGTCATTAATACATTTGTGTATTTGTTTCAGCTCTAATAAGCAAAGAGCTGCTGCAGTACGGGGAACAACTGACATATTCTCTACTGGAGGCCTCAGTACTTCACCTACATCCATGTATGCTTTCTGATGTAAGTGACGAATAATTGCCCAATAACACCAAGATAAATTGTATTTTACATGTAATGGCATTGGTTTTTATTTAAAATTGCTTTGAAGCTATCGAGAATTGAATTTAAAATATAAACTATCTCCATATACTATCATCTCAATACTGAATTTTACTCAAATCTATCGAACTGAAAGGGTGTGAACAAGTAACAAACACACACACACACACACATAGAAACTGTAACATTTATGACGTATGAGTGACGTCCGTCCAGGTGTCGGAGGTGCTGCTGGAGCTGCTGGCGTGGCAGCGCGCGCGCGCGGGCGCGGACTGGCTGCAGGGCGCGCTGCGCCGCCTGCCCGCCGCGCCGCCCTGCGCCACGCAGCACCAGTGCTGGCAGTTCCACCAGTACGCCATGCGGTACGCCCTCTCCTTCACGCTACCTACTACGTAATAAATAGCCTTGTACCTAATAGGCTCACTTACACCAACTAATCTCATTGATAGTTTTTTGTTTAACGTTGAGAAATCGCTTCACGTCTGGCTGGATTGCCAGACGCTAACGCCCCCACCACGACAGTGAACTCAACTCTGCGCTCTACTAAAAACTTCGTGGCAGGCTCGAAACTGGGACCTAGTATTCTACAAGCATTCTCATCTATTCCTATCATTTATACATATATTTTATTGTCTATGGTTTATTCGCCTTTGATGCTTTAATCAATAAAAATGTTGGTATACCGATAAGCTAGAAAATAAAGATCGGCTGCAAGGACCACTCAGTTGAAATACCAAAAGGATCGTCTGAAATTCTGCAGGTTAATAGAGTTATACTTTTAGTTAGTTATAAAATCAGACTAATGAATAATATCATATCCACTTCCAGTGCGGAGAAATGCAAGGAGCTGACACGACTGCTGCGCGACTTTGCGCGTCTCTACCGATGAGCAAGACTGAAACACTTCTAGACGAAGCTTGTGACGTCACAGTGCATCCTGCTCCCATATATATATTTATAATTACATCAAAACCTTAAATCTTAACTCAAAATTCATAGACTATCATATATGAGATAGGCAGCTTCACCGACTCAATGAAAGTAACATCATTATTGTTCCAGTGTTTTGTAATGTGTCTCTCGTTATATACATTTTGTATGTGAATATATATTTTTACTATTTTCATGTGGGATAAAATAGGATGCTCTTGAAAAGTTGCAAAACGGATGCAAATGTAGATAAGGATTATGAATATCAAATATATGATTGTTAGAGAAAAACATGTTGTTTTGAAGTGTGTAAGTTTCAAATTATTTCATATCAGAGCAATAATAATTAAAAGTATTATCGGAATGTGTCAATATTTCTATCTAAATACTTGATCAGACGGCAGACCTCGGGGAGAGCACGCTAGGTAAGTACAGACGGAGTCAAGGCAGAATATATTTTGTTATATTATAATTTCTTTATTTGAAATGTGATAAAACCTCAAGTAAATTGTAAATATTTATTAAAATGTTTACCTTTTACAATGAATTTTTATTTTTTCTGGAGTTGAAGTCCACTTTTAAATAACTGGCGCCACACACGGTCTTTAACGCTTCATTTATGTACATACATAATATAATAGAATGCTAAATCCAAATTTCCACGTGTAAAATATTATTTAACAGAAATCAAAAATGTTATCACTGTTAAATTCTAAGTGCATAAAGTTTCGAATTTTTCGATAGCCAGCCTTCGTCCTTACGTCGAAATTCGTTTTATGCTTCCAATATTGACTTAAATGTTTGAAAAATCGATACGATTGCGATACATTTGTTATTTTCATTTGTGCTAGCTTTAGTCCTGTTACTCCACGGTATGGGCGCTGCACAGCATCCTATATCTCGATCGACAAAATATTTTCGCTGATGATACGAATGTCTTTTCGTAAAAATCTTCGTGGTTTGTCGCCCTACAGATAACGATACTACACTAGCACAGGTATTCTTGCAAAAGGTTTGGACCTTAATGTTTAATGCATAGGTGTATTTTTGAGCTTGTTACACACCAACAAATGAGTGAAAATGCAATAACAAATCAGTAGTCCATACATAATCGTTTGGAACGGAATAAACAGTTCAATAAATTCAAGCATTTTTTGAATTCACAATGAAAACTAAAAATTTTCAATCGACAGTAAAATTATGGAAGTTTGATCTAATAATTTTTTCTTTGTTTAGAAGATTTTATTTAAATTGAAAGTATTGGATTTCACACACAATTACAAAAAAAATGTTTTTATTTAAATTTTCATTGTTTATTTAATAAACAATTTTTTGTAAACAGTTAATTTTTTTTTCTTTTACTACATAATGAAACAAAAACAACCATATGTAATTTTTTGAGAAAAATAATTTGTCTATATTTTTTATCGAATTTTAAAATCTGAGCTTAAATATTTTTACCTAAGTAAATTGTTCATAAATAAGTAAAAGAATATCATTTTTTTTAATTTCTCCAACGGGGATCTATTCTGAAGCCTTCGAAGAGTTAGTTCCAAGAAAGGAAAAAAAAATATCTCAAATTTATAGCTTAACAATTATCACACTTGCAATGTTCATGTTGAAGCAGAATAAGAAATCATTAAATATTGCATAGTAAATAAATACATAATTAATTGAAAAATTGCATTAAAAAAAATCCGATTAGTGTTCATTTATCTATCCAGTAAGCCCCTGATTTTCTTCATTTCTTAAATTTTATATTTAATATGTTAAAATAATTTTTATTGATAGTGTCCGAAGTAGGCGTGGCTTGCGCAAGCCAGAGCATACGTTTTCGGTAGTATTTTCATCTCTCTGAGAAAATTATAAATATCGGTCCTACAGTTCTGGGAGTGGAGACTGTTTTTTTTTTAATTCCTCCTCTTTTTGAATCTTTTATTAGATTTAAAAATCTCAATTAATTTTTAAAATATTTGCAAAAAACTGAACCCTTTTTTTATTTTTAGTTAATTGTTTATAACTTTTGCAATTTTTGCAAGCGGCACTTGATTTTTTTCAAAAATCATCTACATGCCATACCGAATCGAATGAAATCTCGTTCATATATTTCCGAGACTGCTGAAAAAATGTTGATCTAAAAGGCACTTGTTGACGAAAATATTTGTAACGATGAAATATGAAAAAAAAATTTGTAAAATATTCTAATTCATGTCGAGTTTAAAAAAAATGCCCTTATTGCAAGTTGAACCAAATTAATAATAAAAACTTAGATAAAATACCTTTTTATGTTATAGTATAGTATTAAATAGCCCAGGTGCTTAACAGTACGGCAGTTTAGTGGGGCGCCAAGCCAAAAAACGAACTGGGAGGTGGTCCACCCCAGTGGGCGGTGTGCCATGCGGGTTGCTCCTGATACTTCTCTGACAGCAGAGTGGACTGTGGAACAACGCCATGGTTGTTACGGTCTGCCGCGGCAGACCTGCCGTTGGGGCATCGTGGTCGAGTGCGTAAGCGATCCTGCGATGCCCCATTTAGTCGGAGGAGGTTCTGGTGGGTAGGGTTTTGGGGGTAATACTGGCTTTTTTAGGCAGTGAGTCCCAAATAACCACCTACATGTCTACAGGCGGTATGCGTATATGCATTTCTAACATTAAAAAAAAGGTGTTTAACGGTTGCCATGTGTTGCTCGAAGTCATCTGTCCAGTCTTAGTCATGTAAATATGTCCAGGCTCCAGCCGATTTAGCCTAAAAGACTAACAAACACAGAAACGTTTGCATTTATAACACTAGCCTAATAAGGTTTATAACAGACTAACGACTTACCCTTGCTTCGCTCGGGTGTTTTAAATATAAATAGTTATTGCGAGTGCATATACTATTGTGGACTTTTCTGTAGGTCTTTTTAAGACGTAGTATTGGAGTTCATTGTTTTGATGTATCTCTTAAGGTTTAGCCAGCGTTAGCCATATTTTCTAAGGACGGCTCGAAGAACCAATTATTGTGTTATTCCGTGGAAATGAAAGATTTTCTGTAGTAAAAGGTATCCTAATTAATGTTGACCCGAATAATAAGTTATAACTATAGAAAATTTAATCAAAATCGTACTTTTTGCGTGAAACGCGCACACTCAGTTAAACAGACATGCAAACAAAATTTTAATAACTATTGCTTTGAGGTTTACATTCTGTTAAATATTTCATGTACAGATTTCGCTAAGTTACTGTTTTATTATATGTATAGATTATAAAGCTAGATTAATATAAAAAATCCTTTAGGTACAATGATTTATTCATTTATTTTATTTAAATAGAATAAAGTTATTAAAAAATAATATAGATCTATATTGTATACATACATATTATGTGGTTGTATTTAAGGCAAAAAATATATGAAAATTTGTTTTTAAATGTGTTGTGTTATAGTAAGCAATAAATGACTTTATTTCTTCACCCAACAATCCTCAAGTTTGCTAAAATGTTAATTTCATTTCAACATATAACAGATTTTATTAGAAGATGGCAAAAACATGATATTACAATATTTTTATTATAAAATTAAATAAGTAATACATAATACAACTTTATTTTTTCTTACTGTTCTTAGGGCTGGACAATGTGACAAAGTTGACTCGCCTCGGGGCTTTAGGGCTTGGTGCTGATTTTAATGTTACCGGTTGTTTGATATCAGTCACTTTGGCTTGTTTTAGAAAATTGCTTGAAGTAGGAGAAATATCTTTGCTCTTATTATCTTCATTACTTTGTTTTTGTGCTTCGGGAGACTTGTTTTTATGTTTTGGTGACTGGCTTTCCGACTTTGTTCCTTCGGTTTCATCATACACTAATTTGATATCTTCACTGTCTTCTATGACTGTTATTTCATCTTTTTTATCTATCTCCATTGGTTCTGAGCTGGGTTTGATGATATCGTTACTGGAATTGTCTGACCAGGAAGGCATGGCTGTTTCAATAAACACATCTATTTTGACTGGAGTTTTTTGATCTTTTTTCTCAATTTTTGCTTTTTTAGGTGATTTTTCAGTTGGCGTTTTGAACTTAATGAATGAATCCATTTTAGACTTATGTTTAACTTCTATAGGTTTTGGTTCTTCCTCCTGTGGTTTTTTATCGTTCTGTGCTTCATCATTCACTTCCATGGGTTCTGAAATATTTGAATAAATGTTATTTAATAAAAATCATCCTAAATATAAAATTTATTATTTATGTTCATTCATTTTATTACCTGTGTATGATTCTTCAGTTTCGTCAGGGAGCACTTCTCCCAGCTCACCTTCTTCAAAAGATATAACGGAACAGAACCCATCAGTGCTGGAGGCAACCAGGATGCGTCCGTCAGGAGACCACGTAAGGTCTGTTAACCTGGAAGTAAAAATCATCATACCATGTAAATCTATATTACTTATCATTCCATACTTTGATGGTTTTCAAGTAATCAAAAATATTATATACGAGGGACTTATTCCCACTTCATTTGGATGAGTTTGTAGGCGCCAGTGAGTCAAAGACTCTCGGTCACACATGATATTGTGAGATAAAACGATTATATGTTATAATAAACATAAGTATTAACTTATGTAGCGAGTACCTGGTATAGTGCATGTTAGATATGAGGGCAACGGGCGTCTTCTGCTGCGTGTCGTAGAGCAGCAGCGAGCGGCGCGTGGCCACGGCCAGCAGGCGGCGGCGCGGCAGGCGCCAGGCCGGCGGCGGCGCCCCGGCGCGCGCGCGCAGCCCCACCGGCGCCCAGCGCGCCGCCAGCGCCGGCTCGCCGCACGGCACCACGCACGCGGGCCTGTGGGCAGTCTCGGCTCATTCTAGTTTTGCTTTAAGCTACCCAGATAGTAATTCAAATTCAACAGATTTTATTCAGCAATTGTTGTTGTATTGAACCCTTTTTAACGTCTCACTGCTGGGCACGGGCCTCTCTTCAATACGAGGAGATCAGGCCATACTCGCACAACCCTGGCCAAGTTTTGTGTGTTTTTGTCTTTCGAAAACTTGCTAGGTTTCTTCAGACATGCAGGTTTCCTCACGATGTTTTCCTTCACCGTTAGACAAGTGGTAATCATGTTAGAAATGATTCGCACATGAAAATATCAGAGATGCAAGATCTGGGATTTGAATCCGCTTCACTCGGCTTCCCAAGTGAGCGTTACTACTGGGCTACCACTGCCTATAATAGTAGTAGCCATTCGCAATTCTAATTGCATTCAAAATCGTGCTAATAAACCACCTAAAGACAAGTGTAAATAAATAAGAGGTTGCTGAACTTCCTGGAGGAACTGGGATGGCAGAGTAACAAGAAGTTAAATTCCCACACACGCAAAATAGGCGCATAGTCGTCGAGTTGCGGAAAACAGCCCGAACATACCATACCATACCAAGTGTAAATAATAAAGCAAGCAAAACAACTATAAATATTGAAGCTTTATAAAACACATCTTTTATATTGTACTCACACTTTCAATGAATATCTTGTGTAAATGTAAACAGCATTGATAGGCTTCACATCCAATTTGCCCTGCTCTGGTTCAATCCTGCCAGCTGGCACTGTAGGACAATCGAATAAATAACATGTATTTAGCTCTTTTTAACATCCCACTGCTGGGTGTGGTTTTTTTTCATAATATGAGTAATCAAGCCATAGCCTACCACTCTGGCCAAGTGTGGGTAGGTGGATTTAACACATATTTCGAAAACTTGCTAGTTTCTCTCAGATATGCAAGTTTTACTCACTATGTTTTCCTTCATCGTAAGACAATCGGTAATCATTTTGAAAATGATTAGCACATATCGAAATAAAAAATGAGATACAAGACCTAGGATTTAAATCTGTTTTACTTGTTTGTGTTATATAGAGTTAATGCCATAGATTTACTCTATTTTACAAGCTTTTATTACACTGAAAAATGAATATAAGTCAAAATTCACTTGGCAATGCTAATTGCAATATTATTTTATGCACATTTTCATTCAACATTTGTTCCCTAAATGCATTACTAATATATAAAAATAATAATATAAGAAAGATTCTATTTACCAGCTATAAGCAGTCCGTCAGGGCTAAAATTCAATCTTCTGTAATATGTCTGCAGAGTGTCATCATAATAGAGTCTTACATTAGTGCCATGGAGAGGGTGCTCTTTTGGGAAAGGTAGAATTGCTTTACTACTCCGAGATACCACTTTTTTTGTTGACACATCAAATGTGCGGAATACCCTAAAAATGTACTAAAATGTTACTTGCAATGTCTATCTTTTTTATCATTTTTATTAAATTGATTACAGTTTGTGTCTAGGCTTGTCTCTACATGGTGAAAGAGCCTGGATAGTCCCTTTACAATAAAAAAGTCTATGACATCCGGGAGTTTGTTTGGGTGGTGTGCAAATAAGCTCACCAAAAGTATATTATTATATTTTTTGAATGTAACACTATACATAATATAGCAATTAAAAACAGTAAATCCATAAAATAATAAAGATGGAAGCTAATAAGTCACTTCTCAGTTATATATAAAACATAAATAAATATAATTATTCTTCAACTCAAATACCTATCAGTACTCGCTGTAGCTATCAACTGTCCTTTGGGATCCCAAGCAACTCCTTGGACAAAACCTTTATGATCAGTCACTATGGAACTGTATCTGGCTCGTTCAACATCCCACACCATTAGTTTATTATCTACAGAGCCTGAAGCAAGTTGTGTTGATGAACTATTCCAGCTTATGTCTAGAATGTCTTCCATATGTCCTCTTAAGGTCTGAAAAAAAAGACAATTATTTCTATTAGAAGTATATGTATTTACATACACTCAGAGGTTTATATACTTACATATTTTATATCAATTTTAATTTAATTCAGTGATTCTATAGAATCACCTTTTATTAACTAATGAAACAATTTACTTGCCTTATGTATAACCCAAGACTCTTTATATTGTTCTTCACCCTCCAAAGAGGCTGTGAGCTCTTCCATTTTTTGTTTCCATACAAAAATAATAGATTCATCATCACCAGAGGCCAAGTACACTCCATTTGGAGACCACCTTACTACATTTACTGCTTTTTGATGTCTTGTAAGATCTGCTGCCACTTCTAAGTTAACAGATCCTGAAGCTGTTATTTTTAAATACCATATCTGAAATGTATAAGAAATATTAAAATAGATTCTATATTTAATTAGAAATATTATTCATCATGAACTTTAATTAAATAAGTTTTAATTACTAGGATATGAGTATCCGCTCCTCCTGTTGCAAGTCGTAATGGCTCGTTCGCTTTACACCTCGGCTGAAAGTCAACACTTAAAACAGGATCCCTATTGTGCCATGAAATTTCAGGAATTGAAAATTTCATATTTATATTTGAGTATATGTAATGAAAATTAAAAGTTCTTCTAAGTAAGCATGAACTCAAAACCACTTCGTAAAGTAAAAGCAACAAAAACAAAGTTGAAACTTGAAAGCACTAAATAAGTTTTCATTTGTACAGTGTACTAACCACTACATGTCACTGTCAGTTTTGGCGCGAAATCGTATTTGAGTAAGATAATAGATTAAAATTTAATATGTATTCATTTGTGTTCATTGTCATTTAACGCGTATTATAACGTAAAATGTTAAAATACTCAGGTACAAAGAGGCAGAGTTATAATGAATAGAAATATCTGATAATGTAACGGTAATAAAAAAAGAATCTGTAATATAATTCCGTAAGACATTACGTTTTGGTAAAGTACGACAATCATTAATATATATTTAATAATAAACTCAGTTTATGGTAATAGACTTCAGTTGTATTCAATTAAACTATATTCACCTTTAAATATGTTGGAAATATGATACTTTAGGAATCATATACTCGATATTATTGTTTTATATATCTACATAATATATATCCATTTCTAATAACTTTTCAAGTGCCGTTACTTTAAAAAGAAATTAAGGCTGGTTTTTAATTCTACGTTCCTTTAAAAAATATTCGATTTCCTTTCTCTAATAATCCAATTTTATGGGTTTTATGTTTTGTAGAAAACAGCTTAATTCTTTTAAGCTATTTTGAGCCAGCTTTAAGCTTTTAAAACTTGAATATATTTTCAAATAATTTTTACACATATTTAAATCAATCTGAACATTATTGTTTGGTAAATAAAATCAAATATGCAGTAAAAGGCAAAATAGCTGATTTTAACTCGTGACGTTCTTAAAATTTTATATTATATTAACGTAAATTAACTGTAATATAAGGTTATACTTGAAATATACTTTAACACAAACTATATAAAAATGCTATGCATATATACTTAGCTTTTATGGTGTGTCCACCCTAAAAATAATATTCAAAGAACCAGAATCTATGTCTTGACTTTATTTTAAGAAAAAATAGGCTGTCTGTCAACGTCAATTTTATGTATCTCTTTCTTTCTAGTTGACGTTTAGCTGGTTGATATCAGGCAAAGCAAAAATGGTGTGTTTATTTTTGAAAATCCATGAAAATCTATTAGATTTATTTACAAAATAAATGTATTAATAGTGAAATACTTTTAAAGTGTGGTGATATACAAAGTGTCGGTCATATTTTATTATCGGCTTTTATGAATTGCAGGTGAACGTACCAAAACAGCGCAGAACCTACTGCAAAAAATGCAAGGTCCACAAGGTACACAAAGTATCACAGTACAAAAAATCAAAAGAAAGGCATGCTGCCCAGGGTAGGAGACGTTATGACCGTAAACAACAAGGTTATGGTGGTCAATCCAAACCCATCTTCAAAAAGAAGGTACATTCTTAAATTATAACCTCCACTATATTTAAATACAAGCTGCTTCTTTCCTAATGTGTAAAGAAAGTTGGTTGTACTTGTTACATTGTTATTTCTTTCGTACTTAATTATTGCTTAGCATAAAACTTAGAATATATAATATGTCCGTGAACACTAAATTTAATTTTTAAAAAAACACTACTTATAGGCGAAAACTACTAAGAAAATTGTACTTCGTCTTGAATGTGCCGACTGCAAAGTGAGATCCCAGGTAGCACTCAAGCGCTGCAAGCACTTCGAATTGGGTGGAGACAAGAAGAGGAAGGGACAGATGATCCAATTCTAGGCTGCCTAATAAATAAGATTACATTCTACACTGGCTTTCATTTAATATATTTAATAGTACCATATATGAAACTCTTAGATGTTTATTTTGTTGCATATAGTATATTCAAATTTTGCTCAGATTTCAAATTAAACATAAAAGTTCAAATTAGATTTAATTTAATTTCTGAGATAAGATCACACCTAGACAGTATAAATATTCATTTTTGTCAATTTTTAGATATGCAATAATACAGTTATAACAATTCAATATCTTTCCAAAACTTAGAATTTTATGTCTTTTGTCTCTTTATCTTTGTTTCTTCATTTGAAATTACAGAAGTATCTTCTGCTTTTACTAGTTTTAAGACTCAATGTATTAAATATTTTTGGTTGTAATTTATATTTACCAAATTGATGCACTTTGAACCTAATTAAGTAAACTACATATTAAAAACAATGTGATAATAAACATTCTGTGTGACATTAGCAGTAAAAATGATTTGAGTTCATGTTGGTAGAAAAATTGTCTCTTGGGCGCAATTATACAAGATCTGACCCCAGTTAAACTGGGAAGAGGGGTGGACAAAGAAGAGAAGAGTTGGTAGAAACATTGAAGTTATCATTGCACATAAATATATGTACTGAATCCTATATTTATTATATTAAAATAATCATATTGTTTAAGTGTTGATAATTAATAGTAATTGCTACTTGAGAAGGTAACTTTTAAATCCTATATATATGAAATGCTGTTTTTTAAAGTACATTACTTAAGAATGGCTGGACTGATTTGGATTTTTTTATAAATACTTGTTATAGCCACAAATATGGTTTTTAAGGAAATAATTTTGCCTAGGAAATTGTGAGAAAAAGATAATGCTATTGTTTTATGAATTTCAAAGATAACAAACAAATCATTGGAAATTGGACAGCTAATAACATTATTTAATGTATTTATAGGTGAAATTATATAAAAAAAACAACAGTAACTTTTAATTATTTATTAACAAAATATATTATAACAGTTTTAAGCTTGTACTATAATAATTACAAAAGCTGGGCACCAGCTGTGAAAAATATTCCAATAACAAATATTATAAACTTTAATATAGAAGCAGTGTTAAGTCTTATCATGACAAAATCTTATCTAATTCATTAGGATCTAACCCTTCTAGTGATATTTTTAGTTTTACTGCATCTTTGGGAACACCCACTTGCACCATTTTAACAAACCTTTCATATTCAGGTTTAATTTTATTTGTGGTAATGTCAACCGTATCATTGGAAGTTTCTTTTTCTTCTTCTATAATTGTTTCATGTCTTTGTTTTGTTTCTTCATTTGCAATTACAGAAGTATCTTCTGCTTTTATTAGTTTAGCATCTGTATTAACTTCAGGTATAGAAGACAACTAAAAATGGTCATAAAATTAAGTATAAGTTATTGTTTTTTAATAGAAACTATTATAATTGCTATTAAGTCTTACTCTCGCTTCCAACAAAACCATTGTAGCATTGATTTTCTCCAGTTTCCTTTCAAATTGCATTAGTTTCAGTTCACATTGTTTTGCAAACTTATTTAAAAATTGTACTGTACTTATTACAAAATGATTTATAAAAGCCAATGTACGTTTTTGTTGTAATGCAGCTATCTAGAATGAAATACAAAACCAATATTTTGAAATAACAAAATATAAATTATCGATTTTATAATCAAGTAATCAGTCACCTTATTTAGGTCAACATTAGTAGTTTCTTGATTAATTAATGTATCTGGCATCGTAGTTTTAACTAATGGTTTGACTGTGAAATAAAATCTACAATTAAATAATTACAGTATATACCAATGTACTCTGTGATAATTACCTACAAAAACAAATTATAACTGATAATAATAATATTAATTGACATAAAGTCATAGACTACAAACCAATACAAACATTTACAGATTTAAGTATCAGACCAGAGACTAGCTAATAGCGAGCAGTGCTACTCAAGCAACTCACCCTCGCCCCGCTTGGGTTCGTTCTTATTTATGTTTTAACGTTTATTATAGATTTCTCAGAGATCAGATACTTTCCCGAAGTAAAAAGTATCTTATTATGTTAACCCGGATAATCATCGGCTATCATCATACCAAATTTCATCAAAATCCCTCCATTGGTTTTTCTGTGATGCGGTCACAGACAGACAGACAGATACAAAAATTCTAGAAACTATAGATTCAGCCAGCCAGCTAAAAAATATTGAATGTACAGATTCGACTTGGTTAGATTTTTATTATTTTCATGGTCATAACTCATAACTAAAAATCAATATTTTTCACGTGGAGTTTCATTAGGAAAAAACACAGAATTTTTCAATAGATGCCGTTATATGCATTTTATATATTTATTTAAAACTAGCGACTTTGCTTTGCTGCTTCGACCTTGCTTGGGTATGTTCCTACTTCCAAGTAGTGCGTTAACGTTTATCTATGTATATATGTAGTCTATGTATTATTCTAGTCCATAGTTTATCTGTATTATTAAAATCTAAGCCTTTTCAGCGTGAAGAATTAACAAACATACATACAGAAAGATTCACATTTATGATAGTAGTTATTAGACCTAGACCTAGATTATCTCATTTTCTTTTATTAAGATTTTTTCTTTTTTTAATCTAGGTCTAGGTAATAAATATAATACTTTAATATACTTAGATTGCGGCATAGACATAAACGTATAATAAAATTCCTTACTTAGTCTGTACATGTTGCTAGTTTTATTATTCATCTATGTTTTCTATTACCAAACTGTCATATGTCATCAAGTCTTAAAGTCATAACAATGCTTTGATACTTGATCATATATCTATACTCTTTGTACTTGATACTTTGAAGTTTGATAGTTTCCTTTCGTTACAAATACAATATAGTCTTTACCATTTGGTTTACGTATAATAGTAGTACTGAATCCTTCAGTTTATAAATACCAGCTGAAATATAAAAACATTTATTCTTTACAGACAATTAATCATCAATAATATGGCTGGAGAAGTTATTGTGGATGCATTACCATATATTGACCAGGGTTATGATGATCCAGGAGTCAGGGAAGCGGTAATATCAGATTTAATATTATATAAAAATGTGTAGTAGAAAGAACTATTGAAGTTAATCGATCATTTTGTTTTTATGTTATTTGAATATTGCAGGCCTTGGCCATGGTAGAAGAGGAATGTCGTAGATATAGACCTACTAAGAATTATCTGGAAAATGCAGGACCAGAACCTAGCACAGCTTTTGAGACTCCAGCTTTACAGCGTGAGATGGAACGCGTACAACAACGTTTACCTATGGAACCACTATCTATGAAAAGGTACTAATAGGTAAAAACTTTCAGTTTTGTAGGTTGTTTTTTTTAATAAAAGGACAGCCTTTTGAAGTAAATATTACCTGACTTATGTCATACTTATGTATATACAATTTATACAAATAGATTAGATTTTTTTGCTTTCCATAATAGATTTTGGTGGTTTCTTATAGATATGAATTACCACCACCTCCAGCTGGTCGATTAGGAGAACCTGCGGCTTGGACAGAAGCTGTCGATAATTCTCATGCCCAACTCTCTCATCAGGCGACAAGAGTCCTTAATTTGGAGTTACAATTACAATATAGTACAGAAGCTTGGAGGTCATATCTTAATATCCTTCAAGCTTTAGTGACAAGATCCCAAAATGTACATACTCAGTTAAGGTAAGTTATTACATCACTACCTATTTCACACAAAAAAAACCATTCAACTTATTTTGAAATATGCACATGGAATTTATTTCATCATAAATTTTGTTACTAAAAGCATTCTAAATTTAAGATAAATCTCAGTATTTGTTATTAAATGTGCTCAATTTGGCTAGGTATTTATTTATTTATTTATTTATTTATTCAAACAAAATCCACAGCTACATACAAAAAAAATTGTAAGTACAAAAATAAAACCTTACATAAGCCAATTACGGATTTTCATTATTTAGGCAATATAGAAAGGTAGACTAAGTTTACATTTATTTAAGAAAAGGCAAAACAAAAAAATGAGAAAAAAATAATAATATTATATTGGTATAAATAGTATATTGGTAAATTTTATTATTGAGTTATAAAGTTACAATCGCTTTTCATAAAACAAATTGCAACGTGCCTCTTGTTCTAGGAAGTGTCAAACATGTTTTCCTTTACAAAATTATTTTACAATGCAAATAATGTGGTTTTAACAAGAGCCCGGAATTCTGTTCAATTTTTAAACCGGTTATAGTTGTTTATTCCAAACGGAAAGGCTTTTCAGCTTAAGGTTTTGGTTATGTCTGTAACTGGTTAAATTCCGAAAAATCGCTTTTGACGAATTTAGGTTTCATGATCAAAATAAACTGGTTAAAATGACTTTTTATATGTTTACATTTGGGGAATCTTTGCTAATGGTGAGTTGTTTAGTAGAAGGTTTCATGCCTGACATGATGACCAAAATTTCTATATATAAGAATAACCATTAACCATTATTATTTTGGTTTACTAAACCATTCGTTTTTATTGACCGGTTAATGAACAAGCAATGAATTAACCATTATATTACTTAAATGTGCATAAAAAAATAATATTTTACTATACATATATAATATACCCACATACCTATATTAAACTATTAATACATTTAAATAACGTCATCCTGGGTAACCATGGACCACATATATGAGTTTTTACTATGGGTTGTCTATGCATTATAAAATATCTCATAGGTGGTTTTTTTTTACAGAATGACTATAAAATTATTGTGATTAGTTATCTTTTTACATTGTATATGCCAATTACATTAGAAATATTATATATATATCAATCCGCTTGGTCCGCCAACCCGCACTTGGCCAGCGTGGTGGACTATGGCCTGATTTGGGAGGTCGTATTGGGAGGCCCGTGCCCAGCAGTGGGATGTTAAAAAGGGTTGAATACATCCATGGACGAATTGTGGTTAATTCGTTCATGAATACATCTATCAATATATAATCTGAATCTCGGAAACGGCTTTAACGATTTTAATGAAATTTAGTATGCAGGGGGTTTCGGGGGCGATAAATCGATCTAGATTAGTCTTATGTCTGGGAAAACGCGTGTTTTAGAATTTTCATGCGGTTTTCTTTTGTTTCTATTCCACGCAAAATATTATGTTCGATAATTTCGCACGCTCGGATATAAGCATCATGGTCAAGCGGCCAATGCGCAAGATTGAATAAGTGCCCGGGTTCGAATCCTGGTTGGATACAAAGGTATAATTTTTTTTTGTTTTTTTTTGTATTTATTCAAGTTTTTTGTTTTTTTTTTAAGAAAATTGTACTTTTGACCAAAAACTAAGAGCGAAGCTCGGTGGCCCAGGTACTTACTATCTTATATCTAGATATTATGTTTGTGGTGTAACCATCTGTGTGGTGTTGTATCTTTCGGAGTGATGCCCCCAGTTTTATAGAATGCCTACTTTATATCTTATATATAAAATTTCCATGTCACAATGTTAGTTACCGTACTCCTCCGAAACGGCTTTACCGATTTTTACCAAATTTTATATGCGTATTCAGTAGGTCTGAGAATCGGCTACTATCTATTTTTTATACTCCTAAGTGATAAGGATAAGGGTGGTCCTCCCAGACCCCACCCCAGGGACGAACCCGAGCGGAGCGAGGGTGAGTCGCTAGTATATATATACTTATGAAATTCAATTATAATAATACATACCATTAAGTTGGAAAATACGGCGCAGTTTGTGTGGAAAATGTAATTTTTTTCTGATAATTTGAAATTATATTAACTATTTTATAAATGTATATCTAGACCCATATAGTATAAAAAGTTGTTGATTTATATAAATAATTGATTTTAATAATTATATTTAATTTATTATTGTTAACCAAAGATCAAGGTTTAAATCTAATCTAATATGCCGTTGACCCTTATGTGTAGTGGGCAATTATTTTAAATAAACAAATCGATTTTTATGATTCCGTATATAAAATCATAAACTTGGAATATGTTTTGTGATAACCGCTCATCTTAACTACTGAAGTAGATACATAATTTAGTTTAGTATTTGAGAAATAGGATACCTACTTATTTTGTAATTTTGTGGGCACACTCTGTAACAAATATATAATAACGTTTGAGACAAATAATACTTTCTTAGATTTACGAGAATATTTGACATTTCAAACGTATGGAGGTCTGTAACGACTATACCTTCGAGACATCTAACACCTCAGTCTCTCCCGTGACCATGATTGCTGTAAAGTATTAGAAACGTCGGGAACTAAAAATCAAAATAAATCCACGAAATAATCCGAAAAGTTAGTTTTATTTAAAACGTTTGAGACGTTTAAAGTCTTAGTATCTCCCGTGACTTTGATTGATGCATTCGAAATGTCTGGAACCAAAAAACAAAATATATTCGCGTAATAAACCGAAAAGATAGCTTTATTTAAAACTAGCGACTCATCCTCACTCCGCTTGGGTTCGTCCCTAGTTACGTTTTAACGTTTAGTATAGATTTCTCAGAGATGAGATATTTTCTTGTAGTAAAAACTATTGTATATGTTCATCCGGATAACCAGCTATCGCCAGACCAAATTTCATCAAAATCTGTCCAATGGTTTTCTTGTCATCACAAGACAGATAGACGAAAATTCCATCCACTATAGATTCGGCCTCTGTATCGATAATAATGACTATTTCGATAAGATTTTCCAAAAACTATTTAATGTACAGATTCTACTCAGTTAGAATTTTATTATACTTATGTATAGATAGGATATTTTTGTTTAGAAGTTTTCTTAATTTAGCGAAGGAAATTAATAGTGTCGATTGAAAGTTGAAACAATATTTTAGTTCAATAATTAATTTTGTGTATACCTATTTCAATTTACTTTGGTGATACATTCGCTGCGAATTCAGACTCATGTTGGTCGTATTTTTTTATATTTTCGATTTATGCATCGCAAATTTTCTTTAATTGTAATTAATGTTATAACTTTATTAAATAAAACTATCTTTTCGGATTATTTCGCGGATTTATTTTGATTTTTGGTTCCCGACGTTTCGAATGCTTTACAGCATCCATGGTCACGGGAGAGACTGAGGTGTTACATGTCTTAAAGATATAGTTGTTACAGACAGCCTACCCACAATCAACAAAATGAAAATTGCACCAATTACATTACAATATTGTTGATTGATGAAATTTGTTGATTGTGGGTAGGCTGTCTGTAACAACTATATCTTTAAGACATGTAACACCTCAGTCTCTCCCGTGACCATGGATGCTGTAAAGCATTCGAAACGTCGGGAACCAAAAATCAAAATAAATCCGCGAAATAATCCGAAAAGATAGTTTTATTTAATAATGTCAAACATTCGCGTAAATCTAAGAAAGTATTAAATGTTATAACTTATTAGTCTACTTCGAAATTAATTTAAAAAAAATCACTAACAAAATATTTTGTAGCACTCTTAGCTGTTATTCTAATCTTCGTAAATCCCACACGTGTTTTCAAATATATTTTGTTTGACCCTCGTGTGATAAAACGTTCTTTCGTCTTGACCCCTTTCTATCTTAAACTTGCAAATATTTATACGTTTTTAATATTAATAGATAGTTATATGTATATATACTTTTAGTAAACATAGTGGTGTTTTTCTGTATGCCGGTCATTGTAGGTTCGAGTACGGCCCGGGCCAATTTTTTTTGTTCCTAATGTTCATACACAGTGTTTATTATGGAAAAAGAAAAAAAATCATTAGTAAATTTTTTTTAAGGACTGAAAGTTAAAGATGAAAATTAAATGACTGGAGTTGTTGATGATGTTTTATTTTATTTACTTTTAGAAGAATCTGACCAAAACTATTATAACGCTAAGAAACTATTAGACTACTTTAGAAAAAAAAAACACTTTTATATACTTAGTTGAAACTTCAGCTATGCCTGTACTTGTGTACTTACGAAGTTTAACCTAAAATCACTATTTATTTAAAAAAATCAAATAACTTTGGAACCAATAAACATCGCTAAACTACATAGGGGTTGAATCGATAGGTACTGAGGCTCTCGACTCCCCAGCTTTGATCCCTTAGTCAAGATAAACACCGTATAAGTATTTTTTGTATTCTGAAAGAAAATACAAACAAATATAGGTGGAAATAAAAATGTGCCTAAACTACCCTTTGGGTATCCAAAAACAGAAAGGGTACGGACCCCTATTACTAAGACTCCGCTGTCCGTCTGTCTGTCCTTCTGTCACCAGGCTCTATCTAATGAACCGTGATAGTTACATAATTATCACAGATGATGTATTTCTGTTGCCGCTATAACAACAAATACTAAAAAACTGAATAAAATAAATATTTATGGGAGCTGTCATACAACAAACGTCATTGTTTTGCTCGTTTCTGCTCGATATTGATAACGGCAACAAGTAGATGCTTGAAATAGTCACAGAATATTTAGTTATATATTCACTTTAAAAATAAATAATTAAATTAAAATAAAACAAATATTATTTTGGGTGGGGCTCCAAACGTGATTTTTTTTGCCGTTTTTATAGATAATGGTACGAAACCCTTCGTGCGCGAGTCCGCCTCGCACTGACGTATAACATGACAACTAACCCTCAAATAAAAAAAAATATTATGTGTACATTAAGGCTTTCAGTCTCGTTATATTTACGAGTCCCGGGAAAAAAAATCGAGACTCGGTGTGGTCTCGAAATTCCCGGAAAAAACGAGACTTTTGAGACTACTCCAGAAATGGTTTCATACTCATAGGCTGGGCAGTTAGGCAGTCGATAGAAGGTATTTTAATAAAGTACTTTATTAACCATACTCTTACAAACTCAATACAAGTAAAATTAACAATTATTAGGACCTTACATATGAAATTGGCGTTTTTCATGGAAAAAGAAAACGAAAAAAATATTTAAATTATATATTTAATCAGTCACACAGTATGTACCATTGTCATCTATACACTTCCGCTATTTTATAGGTATTTCATTGATTCGTCTGCTGACAAAATTGTGGGAGCGATTATCAATAAAATCTCCGAAGGTGGCTTTGATTGATAATTGGATATTGTTTTTTTTCAATTGTCTACATTCCGGAAAAAGTGGTAATCTGTTGGAGCAAGGTCCGGGGAGTGTGGCGGTTATCGGAGACATTCCAATCGCAGCTCGTCTAATTTAGCGACTGTTTGTTATGCAGTGTGTGCGTTGACCTGAAACAGCAGTGGGCTAGAGCAATTGACCAATCTCGATTTTTTAACGGCTAGCTTTTCCATCATGATTTGAAATCGTTGTCAATACAGAAAGAAACAGATAATGTGACAGTAATCGTTTGGCCCGATCTAAGGAAGCTGAAGTGGATGGCACGGCACCAGCACTGGTCCACCATACACTTACCAGTAGGTACCATTTTTTGAGTCGACTTTTGCGTGGAGCAGGATTTCTCCTGGGTTCAAACCATTATGACGAGCGTTTCCTATGATTGTACAGGATTCAAAATCCCCTTATTATTGTGACGGTTGAGTAATGTAACGCAGAACGATGCGTGTTCGTTGGTGCACTTCACTCAATTTATGCGGTACCCATCACATTTCCAATTTGTTTAAATTAAAATTGTTTTATCAGTCACACCGAAGCTTGCCGGTAGCTCTGACGTGGTTTGCTATGGTTGACCACTGGCCGTCCACGGGGTTTGTTCTATAGGTCAAAATTTCCAGAACGAAAACATTGGAACCAAAACCATGTTTTCTTTTACAGTAGCTTCCTCATACACAGCGTTAATCCTTCGAGCTGTTTCTGCAGCGCTGGTGCCCCGGCGGAAGTAGTATTCGTAAATAACGCGATATTTTAAGCTTTCCGTATTGTAAACAGAATAAATGATGTCAAATAAAAATCAAAAGTCGCGACAACAAATGAATATCTAAATTCAAAAAACAAATACACAAGCCTAAATTTGAAATAAAGAATTTGGAATTCCTAACCAAACGCCAGATATTTGAGATCAAAGTAGCCAGTTCGAAAAAACGCCAATTTCATAGTAAGAAACTAATATTTATGAGATTTTTTTTTCATTTTTACAGTGGGCACGTAAAAACAAAGAGTATTTAATGTACATCCTTTCAGGAGAGGATCTGATTTTATTACAAAATTAATCCGCGTTAGAACAAGCCCTCTTTGCTTCTACACTAGCATTAGAGAGGGGATAAATATTAAATAGTTATATAGCCATGGTTTAGTTATTCCATCTGTGGTCTTATCCTAAGTTTCACTTTACAGTGCTACCACGTAAATGGAATAAAAAAATACTGGTACCGGCTAATACATTTTTGAATAATCTTAATTATTTGACTTATGTCTCGAAAGTCTCGTTATTCCCGGGACTAGCGGTAGAAGTCTCGAGTCTCGAAAACTCGAAAAAATCGTCGAGACTCTCGAAATTTTCGAGACCGAGACTCTCGGGATGAAAGCCCTAGTGTACATATTTATAACCCCTAGAGGTTCAAATATGATTAATATGAACGAATTTCAGAACCTCACTTTTTTTCCTTGTCCGCTTCAAAATGCCCTATATGTCCAAAGTATGCTGAACCTGAAGAATAGTAATACTTTGTGTAATTACTTATTCATATCTTTTCCGTGTTTATTTACTCCGTAAGCGTAGGAAAAAGAAAATATGAATTAAATGGAAATTTTCTTTAAAAATGTATACAGAAAACAAATAGCAGCAGTTAATTGGGAGCGCAAGAGGTCCCAGACCGCGAGTGGTGCGCGGTTGCGAGCGTTGCGACGGCGCTGGGCTCAACTCGTGTCGGACAACTACCGGTTGGAACGCGCCATATTGCAGTTGGAAATGCAGCTTGAAAAGGTAAGCTAGGAAAACACAGTCTACTAATTCATACAGTCGTCTAACGACTACTACTATCTACCTGTTGACAATTTAACTAGGTTAAAAATTATAATGTCACTAAATGTGTTTAGTGAAATTATGATATACCTAACATTGTCCCGTGATTTTGTAAGAAAAAGAGATGATTGAGAAAACTCGGGGCAGTTCTCTAATCACTAATGAAATTATAATTTCACCGCTTTTACAATAATATAATATGTCGGGACATTAACACACAGCACCATCTGGTTCCATGGTAAGCTCGAGATTTATGGTATGGATACCAGATAGTTGATACACTACACATATACCATGTAACTTTAAATACATACATATTATAAATTTAGACACCCATGACTGGAGTACAAACATTCATGCTCATTCATAAATGAATGCCCCCAGCGGGACCCGCGATCGCTGGCACAGCAGGGTCAACTACAAATTGAGTCACACGTTTGTCGTCAACATACATATTTAAGAGGAAGATTTTGTTAATTTTTTTTAATCGTTTCAGGCTAAAGGTCAAGCGGCGACCGACGATGAAGCGCCAGAGATGGACATGGAGGCGGTCAAGAACTTGCCCGACAAACTCAACTCGGAGACAGAAAAGGAGGTGCAAAAGAAAATTGAAGATATGTTCGCCGATTAAAGCGTTTACGGTCATAGTTATAAATAAATTTTAAGATATTAACTCTATGAGATTCTTTTATTTGCCTTCTTGATATAAGTAATACAAAACCATATTGTAAAAAAATATTTGAGACACAAACAAAAAGCAGGCTGTAGCTGTTTCACTTATATATTAGATATAAATTAAATTACAGTCCCAAATAGAACAACGGTCCCTGCCTTTAAATTATAAGAGAAATATATAGCATCTATGTCACATAGAATGACTAATGAATGAATGGCACAATATTTTCAATTATGTTGATATGTAAAAACATCTTGCTGATCGCTTTTGCTTAGTATAGTTTTATTTAAAAAATGGTGATAACCTTTTTTTTAAGACAAAAATTGATAAGTGAATAACTTCCGTTGGCGAATGCAGTCCAGTCGTGTGTGTGTTGTGCTCTGAACGTCTGTCTTTTAGTCCCAATCAGTGTAAATAGTGTTTACGAATTACGATTAATTTAAATATACTTAACCTAAATGAAGCGATTTTCATAACTTTTTAAAAAAATATAGTGGCCGCCTTTTGGAAAAAGTAAGATATTTTTAAAACATAAGTTGTTATATAAGTGTATAATTTTAATAGTAATTAGATGTTTAATCGTTCGAGATTGTGAACTTTTTTTTCGGTCGTTTCCAATATTATAATTCTAGTGTTTCACTTTAAAACATGCTATAAATTCCAATTTATAGGTATAATATTGTTTAATAAATAATCCTCGGTTAAATTATAAAATAAATACAATAAAACAATTTTGACGATCTAACCTTGGAACTCTATTACGTCGTTCATATTAATTCATATTGTCTTCAATAATTTCATATTTTAAACAGATTGAATACGGAAAGTTTGTTAAAAAACTTTAAAACACTGTAAATAACATAGCTGTAACCCGCACTACGCGGCGCGCGCGTGTAATGTCTTTATTACACTTATTTACTTCATTTTTTAGCTTTTATCTAAAACCCATGTATATTCCACACACAAAATACAAAACTTGATCACGTAGTTTGAGGTTTCTAAAAAAATAACTCTTAAAATTAATGCTCAACGTCATAGAGGCAAGACAATTTAATTGAATTGAATGTAATTCAATTCAATTGTTTTGTTAATGGCTTCAAAGCGTGTTAGTAAAATGGAGCAGAAATAATGGCTAATTAATTGACCATATTAGATGTGACGTAAAAGATTAGATGTGACGTAATTACAAAGCTCTGATAAAAGTTTTATTCATCATTTTACAGGAAATACTTGGGTTGTACCAGATAAATACATATTACGCAATATACGTATATATGTATAGTTTAGATAGCAAATTAATAATTTGGCCATCGTGGAGTGCAAAAAATTTTACTATTGTTCGTCGCATTTATTTAGAATATATATTTTTACAACTTACTCATAAATAATCATTTATTTTTTGTGTAATAGTGGATATTTTCTTTGGTGAGCTTCCACCCGAGACAACAACGATGCCACTTTTGACCCCTCTGCCCTGTTTTCCTGCTCCGCCTGACCAATGTCTTCCGAAAGTTCGGATTGTCGAACAGCCAGCTCAATCTGTAAGGTAGATATATTTTTTTATTAAATAATTTTATTAAATACAAAATATAATAACAATTTTCTTACATAACATAAAATATAAAGATCTAAGTTTTTACATTGATAATTTTGTTGAAAATCTAATAAAAGTCGGTTGGTGTCGCGGGACACTCGGTAGGAATGAAGTGCCTTTCGCTATCTGCCTAATGCCGTAGCTCATAAAATAGGTCTTAAAATTTTATCATGAGTACTAGGGTATCATAAACATCAAGCAACCTAGTCCGTACATGTTGAAGCTCATCGAAGAAATTTCTTACAACATGCATTACTTAACACTTATGATCGCCTGGTACTTATGATGACGTCACATTACTGGCTGCACTGAGCTCATATAATATCTGGTAAGAGTTATAGTCCATTATAGTATATGTAGGGCCCCATCATGAAAGTGCATACGAGCTACAACTACATACAACCCTTAATACTTATGCCCGCCTGGTACCTGTGATGACATCACACGATGTGCTCTTTTGTTAGTAAATAATAAAAAGTGTCGTAACGGTCGAAATATTACACTTTTTTTAAAGTATGCCGAAGTACAAGATGCGATTTAGAACTTTGTTACAAAAACTTCTATTGCTTTGCCATAAAATATGAATACTCTAACTGTAATGTTATTATTATTTGATTTTATTTAATAAATAAATTAATGTTATTTGGAAAGAACGCTTAAGTAATAAGTTTTACGACAGCTGTATCCGCGATTATACAGTATACTTCATACAACTGTATGTCATATGAAGTACATATGTAAGCGGATTCAGCAGTCGAGTTAAATTACAGTTACAGAATAGGACTTCTCAGCTGTGTAATGTTTCAGGTTTAGATATGAAAGTGAGGGAAGGATAGAGGTTATTTTCGGCAGAAGCAGCGTAAAATGTAAACGTAAGACGTATCCCACGTTAGAGATATACGGATACGAGGGTGAAGCCACGATCACCATTTCCCTTGTCACCGCACAAAAACCCTATCTGTAAGTCATTTTTTTAAACTTTTGGTTTAATTGATTTTATAGTAATATGTACATCATGGAGTTAGTACTAATTTTGTGAAAGATAATTCAGCCATTTTAAAAATGATTACTATCAAAACTCAATTCAATTCGCTGTTATGCGTGGCTTTTAGTCTTTAGGCGTGCCAGTTGAGCACAGATTACTTCGCCAATGTCCTGTAGAATGGAGAAGACACGGTGGCGATGGTATTAACCGGTTAAAAAAGAGGTTACACTGAGGTCTGATTACATATAAAATATGACCAATTTGTTGTGTAGTGTGGAACTGCTAACAATGTTATCAATTGAGTAGCTTAGTTTTGACGAGACGCTCAATTTTTTTCTGTTAGCATCCAATTTGTGTCTAACTGTTTAATGTTATATATTTCCCTAGACAACATCCTCATAAGCTATATGGTAATGAAGAAAATACAAATGGCATTTATGAATTTAATGTACAGTTGAAAAAGGAAAACGCACGCATAGTTGTTCCAAATCTCGGCATACAACATACCTTGCAAAGAGATGTTGTCAAAGAATTGATGGCCAGGAAGAAAACAGGCGTAGATCCATTTCAGAGTGAGTTTTTAATTTTACAAGCTTATATGTAAAATTTAATGATGGTGTGCGGATGTTGGAGTACGGCGCTATATTCGATTACATTAAAATACTTTAATTTCATAAAGTTCGAAGATGAAGCGTGTACAGTCGACACGCTTTATTTACAATATTTATTCAATATTTATTAATTATTGATTTCCCAGACAAACTTCCATCTCCATTTTCACCCCCTTAAAAGTTGATTCCGAGATAAAAAGTATCCGATGTCCTTCTTAGGGTCTCAAACTATCTTCTTACTAAATTTCATCTAAATCGGTTCAGTAGATCCAGAGATTACTCCCTACAACTCACAAACTCACAAACTTTACCTCTTTATAATATTAGTATAGACTTATATTTATTACTAGCACTGCCCGCGTTCAGATGAATAAAAACCAAGTTTTAGGTTTTACAGATTAGTGTACTCTTACTTTGCAGTTTTTGCATTTTTTCTCAGAAATGAGATATTTTCCCGCGGTAATAGTAGAGTAATAAGTATCCTATATGTTGACCCGGATAACCAGCTATTACCATACCAAATTTCATCAAAATGCCTCCAGTGGTTTTTCTGTGATGCGGTAACAGACAGACAGACAGACTTCGTACACCCGTTAATGTTTAAACGGGTTTTAGTCATTGACCAATGAAAATGAAAAATTCAATAACTACTGTTTTGGGGTCTATATTCTGTACACAATACATAGCAGTCATTGTTTTAAAAAAATATTTCTTGTATAGAATTAGCTTTGCTATTTATTTATTATATATATGGATTTAATTTATATTTATCTACTTTGAATTTTGGTTCCCGACGAAACGAATGCTTTACAGCAATCATCGGAGAGACTAAATTTTTGGACATCTCAACTAGGTCATTATAGTTGTTACAGACAGTACAATGTACCTTACCCATAAAATTATACAATGATTTTTAAAAATACAATAAAAAAAGAAAATATAGTTTCATTTAAAACGTCGAATATTCGGTAAATTTAAGAAAGTATCTATTATATTTATTGTTTGAATTAACCACACAAATATTAATTATTCATAAATATCCATAATTTGCTCAATTCTAGGACTAGCACCTACTGAAGATGTTACTATGTAATGCATAATTATCTACTCCGCTAGAATTGTGGAAAGAGATTATTCGTGAAGTTACATAGATAAAATCTGTTTTGTTACAGCTGGTTTTAAACACATTAATGATCCTAAAAATATCAATTTGAAAGCTGTAAGACTCTGCTTCCTAGTATCTATATATGACAAGAGAACCGGCGAGAAGACGAACTTGGCCCCAGTGGTGTCCAACGTGATTTACGATGGGAAAGCTCTCATGAATTTAACTATTAGAGAATTAAGCATCACCTCAGATTATCATTTTGGTGGACGTAGATTGATTATTCTATGTGGATGGGTGGGTTGCTTTCATTTTTATATTTAACTAGCTGACCGATCAGACGTTGTGATCTTCGATTTTATTTGAAAATCCTATAGTTAATGCACTTTCAGTTTCCCCCAATTTTTCGGTTAACTAATCCAGTTTTTTGTCTTTAAAATATGAACTAAGTTGAGACCGATGTATTCAGTCCTTTTTACCGTCCCACTGCTAGGCATGGGCGTCCCTTCAATACGACGGGATCAGGCCATAGTCCACCACGCTGGCCAAGTGCGGGCGGACTGAGCATGTCTTTTGAAAATTGCTTAGTTATCTCAGCTTGCATATTTCTTCATGATGTTTTCTTTCACCGTAAGGCAAGTGGTAATCATATTGGAAATGATTCGCACATGAAAATAACTGAGGTCCGAGGCCCGGACTTGAACGCGCTTTTATTCGGTTTCCCTAGTGAGCACTGGTCTACTGCTTGGACTAAGTCTTTTATATAATTGTTAAATATTTTTAGGTGACAAATGACATTTCCGTAGTATTCTTTGAAAAAGTAGAAGACAAAATAGTATGGGAGAAGCATGCTAAAGTCGACTACGTTCATAATCACGTGGCTATTGCGTGTTTCGTCCCCCGGTATCATTCAAATAGAGACGCTGAGGTATGTACTCATATTTGTATAATGTAGTTTTAATCAATTAATTGTAATAGTTTATGGGAATAGCAGTGTTAGAGAAAAGTAGTAAATAGTATGGATAATGGAAGCATATTTTGATGGTTGTCGGTTGTGTTCTTATATCGATATCAATAACGATATCGGAACAAATCTGGTAAATACGTAATGGGGCGATAGAGTACACTGATAGTGTGGTCTTCGAACTATTAACTAGGTACTTGTAATTTGTAACGTCTCATTCGTCTAATTCGTCATTTATAGCAATGTATAATATTTAAAAAAAAGATTGATAAAAATCGGATATTTTTATAATTGGTGATTTTATAGATTTCGATGTGCTCTTTTGAATTTAACTTTTGCCATCTCGTATCTTTGCCGTTCGCGCTTTCATATTGGAAAAATGGCGCTTCATTACAGTTTTTTGACAATATCTCCATTCTGACTAATTTTCTGGTAAAAACATTTACTATATACAAAACTAGCGACTCACCCTCGCTTCGCTTGGGTTCGTACCTAGCTTTTCCCCATAAAAACTTGTATCCCCATTCTCACCCACTTAAAGGATGATTGCCGGTATAAAACTATTTCATTCACTCACTTTTCTTATCATGAGATTTTAAAAAAAAAACTTATTTTAGTAAAAAAAATTTTTAATTTTCTTCTGTACAAAGCTTGTCCTGACAATAAGAAACACAAAAAAAAAAAGAATTATCCGATTTGGTGCAGTCGATCGGATGTTATGCGCGTAGATACATTTCGGTGTTTCATTTTTATTTATATAGATTAATAGGATGGGATTATCAGCTACGTTGCAAATCTCTTCTTCCTCGATTCCAACATATGTTTGCTCGAGAACAGTCTTCGTTTCTTGCTCTTGACCCTATCTGGTGATAAGCGAAGTAGAATGAGCTAAATATTGTAATAGTGCATTACACGTGGATTAGACCTACTGAGATAGAATACCATGATAAAAAAACGCACCACTTACTCTACCTCAAAGTGATGTGGAAATAAGTTTTTTTAGTGAAAATGCATTTTGAAGTACACTTTGAGGCGTTCGTATGCCAAAACTATCGATGTTACAAAAAAAATTGTTAGTACATAAATTGTAGGAAATTTTCTCTACTTTAAAATTGTATATAAATGTTTTACCGGAAAAGTAGTCGGAATGAAGGTATTGTCAAAAAATGATAATTAGGCGCCTTTTTTTCCAATATGGGGGCGCGAGCGGCAAAGATACGAGGTAGCAAAATTAAAATTCGGAAAGAACACATCGAAATCTATAAAATCACCAATTTTCTAAACTCCCGGAAAACTATCCAGGTAAAACTAGCAAATGACTGGGCTATATCTATAGTAAATAAAAACTACCAATCTGTTACTTTTTAGTGTTTTTTTTTAGTTTTTATTTTTCTATTTGTAGTAGTAGTACTTAGCAAAATAAGAAGTATTTTAAAAAGTCAGTAATTGAAAAATCAATCAACCCCTATTACACTGAGGGTTGGATTTTTTTCAAACTTAAATGGGACCTTTTCGGAATAAACTTCTTGCGAACAAAAGAAGAATTTTGCAAATCCGTCTATATATGACGGAGCTATGCCCAAACATATAAAAAAATATAAACATCCGAATTGAGAACCTTCCTTTTTTATCGGTTAAAAAGTGAAAAAAATATGTATGAATGATTAAACCATGGCATATTTTTGTAGGTAGGTGTTGAGCTGAGAATGTCTTTGAAGACAGAAGAAGGAGAGCGTAATAATGTAATGAGTTTCAATTACATGGCCAAACTCTCAGGTACAAAATTTCACTTTTCATTATTGTTTTATGATGGGCGCCGGCAGAATTAGGCACAAGTTTAGTATATGGGACGCGGCCCCTGGCGGAGTGGGTGGTATTTTTGGATAGGGTAGGTGATAGGGAGCCCAAATATATAAAAATTATTTTAAGGAAACGTAGAAGTAAAAAGTTATTGAGACTTAAAGTTACAACATTTCCATACATTTCCTTACCAACTGGCGGAGTGGGTGATATTTTTGGATAGGGGAGGTGACAGAGAGTCAAAATATATAAAAAATATTTTGAGGAAACGTAGGAGTAAAAAGTTATTGAGACTTAAATTTACAACATACCTAATACATTTCCATACATTTCTTTACCTAACTATGTGATTACAAAAGACAAACATACCTTTAACTAATAGTAAACATCCTTTCTTATGTACAATACATATTTCCACAACAATTAAGGCTTTATTGTATTTAATTTTTTAATAATTTCACAACAGTACCTATTGTAAGCAAAATGATCTTACATTTTGACAACTGTCAATTTTTGTTTTATATTACCGCTTAAATGACAACAGTTTATGTTAATACAATTTATAAACGTGAGTAGACTATTTTTAAAATCTAAGTATTATTTACTTTTGGTTTTTATTTCGCGATATCGTGGTTAGTTTAAGACTTAGGTTATTTATTTATTATTCTTCATATCTTGGTTAGGTTATGTTATAACTGCTACCACAACGCACGAGCCGAGCGAGCGAAGCGAGCGTGCCGTGGTAGCGGCCGGCGAGTGCCATTATTATATGACTAGAAAACTAGAAAATTTAAATTTCACGCAAAGTATAATTAAAAACACGACAAAACATAATCTGGAGATCATTTTGACAATTGAAAGTAGCATTTTGATATTTCCAAGTGTCTAAATGGCAGTAATGTCTAAATAATGTATAGAAATGTTGTAATTTTAAGTCTCAATAACTTTTGACTCTTTTGTTTCCTCAAAATTATATATTTGGACTCTCTATCACCTCCCCTATCCAAAAATACCACCTAATACTCCAGGGGCCGCGTCCCATATACTAAACTGCAGCCCATAATTATTTTGGGGGGTGAAATACAACTCATTTACTGATTAATTAGGAACAGAATTCAGAACGTATTATCATCAGCCCATATCTATTATCTACCCACTGTACAGTACTCCATATTGGCGAAGACATTGGCGAAGTAATTTGTGCTCAACTGGCGCGCTTTGAAACCATTAAAAATAGAATTGAATACTTGAAGTCCTACTAAAACGTATAATTTTAAAAGTGACAAATATGAATGCTAAATGAACTTTTCGATTTTAATATATTTCTTTCATGCAATGCACACCCAAACACCCCCCAACCCAGGCGCCCATGTGTAACACAGATATTGTTGAGTACTACTTGTAATAAGATCAATCTTACAAGCAATTAAGAATATAGGTCTCGACTATTTATTTATAATAATGTACGAGTATGTGTTAGTCAGCAGAACGGCGCATAAAGTATTATTACTTAAATATTTAAGCAGATAATGAAATATATAAAAATATTAATAAAATATTTTTGTTTAAAAATGTGTGTTATAGATTCCGAAGTAATAAAGGAGAAGGAAAATAAGAAACTGTCACCGCACCTTCTGTCATTGGAACGAAGTAAGTGGCCCAACTATCTAAATACGACGCCCTCGAAGTCAACAAATCATACCTACTATATATTCGACAAATCATTTTCTCAAATAAAAAAGAATGCAAATTTATATTTTAGGACCTAAAATTAGCACTAATTCTTGTCGACGCGAGTGTTTGCTTTATAAAAAAGCTTTTTATTTAACAAGTTAGGCTTAAATAGCTGTAATAAGAAACTCCGCCAAAATGCGAGTTTAATTAAATCATGTAGGTAAATTTCTAAGAAATCTATTGTTAACTGTAACGCCGGCGTGTCCGCGCTCGTGGAGGGATTAATCCGTCGTTGCATTCCGTACCGTTCGGACGTCTCCCGTGTAGTTACCTGATTTATTATCAATGTAGGACATGACAGTGATACGTTGGAAAGCGAAAATAAATAAATAATGTATATAAATATTTAAAATACGGTTAATTTTACTTTAATGTTGATTTTATTTTATTACGAATTATTAATAATTCCTCACTAAAGCATTAGCAACATGAACGAGCCCTATGATTTCAAACTAGTTGTAAGCGTTAGTGGGCGGAGCTAGACATTTTTCAGCCCTTATCAGTTTGTATGCTAATGTGGGATAGAGGAAGCACTTTGCATGGTTCACTCCGTGAATAGAGTATAGGACTACCCTTATGTGGGTTTCCAGAAAAGTCACTTTATATGCTATGCCAATATGTTGTTTTTATCATCCACATTTATTGATATTTCTATACAATTCTAATGATTCGAGTGTATCAAATGGTTTTGAATTTAACTCATTTATCAATCACATTACAAATACAATGAATCTTAATATTTTATTTTATCAGTTTTGCGAGAAACAATCAACCAGCCTTCGGGAAGTCCTCAGGTAAATATATGTTTTTATTTGTTTTATCTTATAACAACCATGCAAACTATTATATAATCGAGGAAACACATAAGCAGTATTATTTTTGTAGAGTGGAGGCCTCTTATATTATTGCAAAGAAATTAAAGAAGTCTTTTCCTATTATTTTTTTAATTCAATGAATCACTATAATGTATTCATTAATTTAACACATAAATGTTTGTAACAAAACGATTTTAGATCACTTACATTTATTTATTTTTAAAGACTCACGTAGGGCCTCAGTTACCCCCTCTCCCCAATATCCGTACCTTGCGTGGCGAGGAGGGAGCTCATTAGCTTTTACATGCTACGCCTCACTGAGACGGGCAAGCTTTTGTTGGATTTAAGTGGGTAGTAGTGACTCCGCCGATGAGTTCCACATAACGTTAAAAAGGGGCCTCGGTTACGTAGACTATCTTTGAACCAAAACACATTAATCTGGGGCCACGGCAGTGCTCCCGCCAAGTCGAGCACTCTTTTTTGAATATCGGCAATCCAGACATATACCTAAGTCATTACAATATAAGTAATACTTTTTAGCAATTTAATGTGTAACTATTATTTTTTAGGATAGCGAGCCGATTGCTGGACCTAGTGGCGCCACATTAAATACACACAATATGTTACCACCATGGCTACCTTATATAAAACCTGTGCACATCAATAACCACGATTTGTTCTCTAACGGATCAGTATTATCTGTTCGAAATATGCCGTCTAATGATTATGCCTCCAATATGCATTCTGTAGATGGCCACGTTCATCAAAGGCATAATACGTACAGTGACATGCAAATATCAGGCAATGTGGACACTTCTATGCAATCTATAGCTTGCGGGGAAGACTTTTTCCCAGAATATCTAAGAAACACCGACCCACAGCAACAGGTCTGTTGTAACTATTACAAAGAAAATCATATTCAAATCTGATTAGCTTAAATTATAATTATAAAACATTTAAAATTCAATGATCAATATTATTATTATTTAGGCTTTACCGGAACTGGCGCTGCCCGAATTTGGTGTTTTCTTTGACCGTGTCGGTGAACATCATACATAATATGTACCTAAAGACTGAACTGACGAGATGGAATCATTAATCTTTTGCTAAAGATTAAAAGACTTCGATTACCTTGTTTATTTATATTATAACGTGAAAAATGCAATAAATAAATTTGTATAAAATATTGACATATGAATTTGCAAATTTAAATAAATTGTTTTTATTTACTAATGTTTTTTACTTATTCGTAATTCTTACCTTCCATCAAATTATCTTTGGCAGGTTTATTTTAAATATTGGATTTATGGAAAGAAAAATGAATTAATAAATATGTAGGTACTATGTTATTTACATTGACGAATGCCTGTGTGAACAAATACATCTATAGTCTATAAAAAAATATAACTAAGCCGAATCTGTAAATTAAATATTTTTTGGAAAATCATAATGAAATGGACATTATTTTTTATTATCGAATTTTTGGAATATTTGTTTGTCTGCCTGTGGCCACATCACGGAAAACCCACGTGGCACGGAGGGATTTCGATGACATTTGGTATGATGATAGCTGTTTATCCAGGTAAACTTAAAGGATACTTTTTATTGCGGGAAAATATCTCATCTCTGAGAAATCTGTTCTAAACGTGAAAATGTACTCGTAAGTAGGGACGCTAGTTGATAAATATGTATATTATTTAAATTGACGAATGTGGCCCAGTTGGACAGTGTTGGACAGTGCCCTGGACACTTCGTGATAGGGAAAACTGACCACCTATAGAGAATAATTAAAGGTGGACTGTACTTAATTGGTTTATTAGATAAGTACTACACAGAGTGGTAACCCGACAATATATTAAGCGTTTCGTAACGTGAGTTAAAGTCGTTCTTTCGTGCGTTCTACGGTCATCTCACAGTCCCCGTAAGGGGAGTGGGGAAACGGTTTCGGGGCATAGCCCCCTGACCGTGGGTTCTTCCGCCGCCCACAACTATGGGCGCGTCGCTAGGAGGGCCCTTCTGGGACCCTTAAGGCTTCTTAATGGTAGTCGCCCGTGCGATCAGCCCGGCCGGGTGAAACCGTATTCAGGGAGGCCCATCCAGGCGATCAGCGGCCGAATACAAGAGTGATAGCCTCCCGAATTAATAGATTGGTCATTTTTTAAGTCTCGTTATAGAAATAATTTATAACATGGACATCTGTATCATTAAAATTTAATAATATATTTTTAAATTGCCAAAAAAATAAGACCAACATAATATTAAATTAAAAAGAAAACAGTCAAAAATGATAAAACGGAACAGATTAGAGCTGTAGCAAACCGTATGTATTCGTTACTGAGTAACGGGTACGCCATCTAGTACCGAGTACCGAAACGTTACTCACGAATGCATTTCGTTACTCGCATTTTCCGTACATATTTTCGTACTAATGTTTTTATTGATTTTTTATCCAGCAAAATACAACTTTCAGTTAATACTTAAAACCATTGATGAGTAAATTAGAGAGTTTATTTATTTATTTCGAGTTGCATGATTTCCAGATCTTAGAAATTTTGTTTAGAAACAATTTTCAATTAGAAACAACCATTATATTTAGAACACATTTTTAGTTTTTTATCCAACAAATACTTATAATTTTTACTAAATGATTATGTCAAATGAAATCAAAATATACTTTATTCAAATAAACTTTTACAAGCTCTTTTAAATCGTCAATTTTACATTTTAAATTAAAATTAAATGTTAGTCCGTTAGGAACTACCGCCGGCTCGGAATAAAGTTTTCTGCTGAGAAGAACCGGCGAGAAACTCAACAACGGCTCTTTTAAAATAATAATTGTGTACAATATTGTAATACAATAATTATCTATTTATCCTACGTGAGACATGATCATGTGTAATACATACAGATTATGATTTGATAAATCATTCGCGCAATTGATTTTAAATAAAATATGCATTACGACGTCACACTAACGTGATAGATGCCGTTACTCATTCATTTTTAAATTACCTATTTTTATATTTATTATTTAATTTCAAAAATTATTAATAAAAAAATATTGTTAGTAAAGTTTTTTAAAATTATATAGATTTATAAATAATCAAAAATTACGGGTTCTGGATATCATGTAACTCTCCAATTGAAATGGTTTGTTGATCGTGCATTATTCCACAGAAAACAACGCGACGTCAACGATATACGGTATATCATATAATTTATACCGTACGCAATACATACGCAACACGACTCGATACGATGCTCTACGAGTATGTTATCGGGTATCAAAAGTAACGAGTAACGATTCAAAAGTAACGAGTACTGATGCTATAGTAACGAATGCATACGGGTACGCTATTTGTCGTTACTTTTACACCTTGAGAACAGATTACATATTTAGCGGTGTATCTAGAGACAACGAATGTCGATTCACGATTGTCATTTGTCAATATTGCTTGTCGTTGTCAACATCTGTGATCTGTCATTTTGTCACAGTGTCAATATTATTTTTATTTAATTCAAAAATGGCGGACGATGCATCGAGTAGTAGCGCTTGTGCCGGTAATTCTGTTGAGAATTCAGTAAATCAAGATGAGCTTATCATGAAACAGCAGCGAGAAATAGAAAAAGAGGTTAGAAGTTGATTAATGCCCAAGTTGATACAATTTTTATTATTATTTATAGTTACTATGTAACAACTACATGTTTGTGTTTGTTTTTAGATATCAGAGTCTATTCCTTTGGTCGGCGATCTTGAAGAAATATCCTCTCTAGAAAAAGAATATAACGAAGACCCCATTTATTTGTTAAAAGTTAAAGATCTCTCTGCCAAGTATAAACAAATAAGAAGAACAAGACCGGACGGTAACTGCTTCTTTAGAGCATTTTCTTACGCTTACTTAGAGCATCTTCTCACTGATAAAAAAGAATCGGATAAATTTTATGAAATAGCGAAGAATTCAAAAGAAATACTCGTCGCTTTAGGCTTTCCTCAATTCACTGTTGAAGACTTCTATGAAACGGTGAGTTAACACTTTTAAGGTTATATGTTGACTGTAGAAATTTTGATTTAAATAATTGAATTACTTTATTGGCATTATGAATGAAGTTTTGTGTGGCTTCATTTATTTTAGTATTGGATCAAATATATTATGAATTTAGTATTGACAGATAGGTATTTTATTTATATTTTTTTAGTTTATGGAAGTAGTACAAAGAGTTGGTGAACAAGCAGGTGGACCTCCTGATCAGCTCGGGGCTATTAGAGAGGAACTTCATGAGAAATTCAATAAGCAGGGTTACTCAGATTATATAGTGGTATATTTGAGACTTATTACATCAGGACAATTGCAAACACAACATGACTTCTATCAAAATTTTATAGAAGGATCACGTACAGTCACAGAGTTCTGTAGACAAGTTAGTTTATATTTAATTAAATATTAATAATTATATAATGACATATAAATTAGATATTAAAAGTATGTTTATTTATGAGTATGACATCAGTTCCTTTTGCAAATGTACTATTATCCAGCCACAACAAAAAAAAAATGTTTATCTTTTAAAAAATATTTCATCTATGCTTTTTATCATATCTACTATGAACACTTGTATGTAAATAATTTCATAAATAAAATCTTAAAATTGTTTGTAGGAAGTTGAGCCAATGTACAAGGAATCTGACCACATTCATATCATAGCTTTGAGTAATGCATTGAATGTTGGTGTTAGAGTCAAGTATATGGATCGTGGAGAAGGGAGTCAGGTAAGTTTTTTAAACCAAATTTAGTAAAAATAAACAAATTGAGCTATTCTAGTCTTCAAATTACAACATAAATGAAAATATTTTTGTTATAATGGCAAAAGTACTTACCGTATTATACAATTCATATATTATAATTATAACTTTAAAAAGGTTGCATATATTATTATATTAATGAAATGAAAAAAACTTTTTCAATTACACTAAAAGCACTTTTGAATCATCAAATTGAAATTTTGTTTTATGAATTCAGTATCCAATTTTATGGTAGCCTATTATATTTGTGCCAAATATCTTATAAAGATTTACCAAAAAAATTCAGCTTGTTATCCTTTCTTTGCATTGAGCAATGTGAGTGAAAAAAAAAATAATGTTATTAATCATAATAATGTTTCCTTTTTTATATTTCTTTTTTGTACAGGTAATCGCGCATGACTTCCCCGAAGGCTCCAAAGCTCTTGTTCACCTGTTGTACCGACCTGGCCACTATGATATCCTGTATGCGTGATTGTGTTGAACATTTAATACATATTAAAGTTAATTATCTTACTTGTCTGTACTTTTATTTATCCTTTATTTAGTAATAGTATCATTTTTAATAATATTAACTTAATTTTAAAATGTTCATGAAAATAACCTTAAAATATGTCATTATTGAATTTTAAATAAGATCACATACTCTTCTTCCTAATATAATCGTTATAATGAAATTATGTATATTACACTTTTTTATGGTATATATTACTATTCTTTGAATATAAAAACTATAATAAATAAATGTCAACTGTTAATTTTTCACTGGATAGCCAATTGATTATGGTTACTATTTAATTCAATCACATTAATATTATAAATGCGAGTTTGGATGGATGTTTGTTACTACATCACGGCTGAACGGATCTGGATGGAATTTGGCGCAGAGATAATTAATCTAGAATAGCACACAGGTTTTTTCCCAGAAAAATCTACCCCATGGGATAATTTGTTTTTCACTAGGGGGCGAATCCCATCAAAGTGAGGGTGAGTCCCTCGTAGTATAATAAATGAAAAACAATAAATCTATTTACTCTGGCTACTTTCTGCACTCGCATAATAGTTTTAGTCTTGGATCCATTCAACTGAATTTTAAAATAGGTCTAATGTTAAAACCTAGTTTTGGTTTCCATTCAAAGACAATATATTCATAACATAATACATGATTATTCATGCACCCTTGACGGCATTGCTATTATTGTGTACATATATTAACGTTAACGTAATTTATTATAATTAGGGTCATTATAAAAATATTTTAATATCCAAATTTTAGTTATTCCTTTAAAAAATAATTTTACAAATGCAATAATTAGACACAAAATTATTAGAAGTGGAAATTTTAATTTTGTAATATTTGAAAATTGTATTAAAAATAACAATTTAAAAGAAAATAATTTATTTTTTAAGTAAATTATATTTAACTTCAAGGAATTAAAATACTGAACCTTAGTTACATAAAACTAAAATTATTACAAAAATGTTTCTTAGTAAATACATCTATCTGCAAAAATACACCCCATCAGGTTCTCTCTTAGGTTTCATGTCTGCGAAGAAAGCTTTGATATCTTCTTCTTTAACAATTTCTTTCCTATCTTTAAAACTTTTAAGGAAATCAAGTAGTTTGTCTCTCATTTTGTTGTATTCAGTTAATGCATTAATCTGTTGAATTCTATCTAAAGAAGACAGTGCTTCAAGTCCTTTTTCATATTGTGTCAATGGCTTACCATTAATAATATCTTTTCCTAAGTTTTCATAAGCGGACACTGTGTCCTCAGGGTCCGTCAAGAATAAAACCGATAAGTCTTTATACATAGATATACATTCTGGGCAAGAACAAAGTTTTTGACGGAAGTTTGATGGCCAAAATGTTGCACCTTTATAAACTTTTTTAACACCTCGTGGACGTAAACAATGTTTACTCTCTGTATCTAATTTAGGTTTTTTAGTCTCTAAATCTTCTGCACTTTCTTCTATTGAGAGCTTTCGTTTCTCTGAGTGTTTTTCCTCACTTTCTGATAGTTTCTCATTGTCTTCAGAATTAGAGTTTTCATTTGTCTTTTCAATGAGCTTAGGTTCTGACTCAGAGCATACATTTTCATCACTTTTCATTTCTGTATCAACAAGATTGTTACATTTGTTTTCTTCTTGTATGTTTTTATTTGTTTCTTTATTTTCAGAAGTAAACTCACTTTCTACTTTAGTTAACTCAGATGTCACCTCTTCTTTGTTGGTAGGTTCAGAAGAGTTGCTTTCAGTGTTATTTTTATCAGTAGATTCTTGGTTATCCTTTGAATTAGACTTTGATTCTTCTTCAGGATCAGCCAAAAGTCTGTCTTCTTCCATTTTTTCTGCTTCCTCTTCTTTATTTCTGTGTTTCTCTTCATCTGAAACATTAATGTCTTTGTCTTTACTGGAATCTAAATTTTCAACAGTAGCTTTTGGTTCTTGATCTGCTAAATCAAGACCTGGTTTATTTTTATTAGAGTCTGCAATCTCTAGATCTTCTGATTTTGCAGTGCTTTGGTTATTAATTTCTGCTGTGACCTCAGTATCACTTTTGTCCTCTTTAGAACTGGTTGTAACAGTTTCATCATCTTTGGATATTCCTTCATCCTCCTGTATTTTAGCTTTTTCTGTCTCATTGTCTGATTTATTTTCATCTGTATTTAATTCAGTATTTATATTATTTAAACATTCTTCCTGAGTTTTAGCTGATGATTCCTCAAAATTAGTTTCCGTTACATTGTCTGTTAAATTTTGTACAACTTTGTCATCAATTTCTTTTAAGGAGTCTTGTGTTGTAGATAAATTATTTTCAGCAGATGTAGCATTTTCATCCATTTTTTCACTTTCTTCATCTTTATTACTTTTTTCAGCAATAATTTCATCTTCAGTTCCAGTTTTATTTTCTGTAGGAATATCTTTCTCCTTTTCTGCTTTCTCTGACATTTCAACATCTACATTTATATTTGAAGTATCATTTTTATTTAAAGTACTGTTATCCATTTCATTCTTATTACCATTACCATTACTTAATTCATTGTGACTGTCATTGCCATTTACATGCACAATTTCTATGGTAGTTTCAATATTAACAGCTAGTTCACCGTAGTCATGTAAGAATTTATTTTTTTCCATACACTGTTTACAAATCATTTCAGAGTACTGATCATTTGCGGGAACAGTTGCTTCCAAATGTGAAGAATGCAGCCAATCTTCACAAATAATGCATTGTATCATTTCATCTTCCACTGTTGCTTCAGGGTCAGGATATGGTCTCTTACAAATGCAGTAGACTCCACTAAAGTTTTGGTTATAACTATTATCTTCATTTAAATCAGTTTTATTTGGTGTAAATGTACAAGGGTGCGAATTAAACTTAGGATTGCCACAGTCACATCTAAAATTTCTCTTTGTGTATAATTCTATGAGTTCATGGTTTTCATGGCACACCAAACTGCAAGCCAGACATACACCAGCTCTTTTTTCAGGGTCTGATTTAGCTTCAGAGCAGCATGTAAGGCATGCATATAAAGCTTGTCTCTTTATATAACCCTGAAATATGAATATTTAAATTTGAGTTAGATACATGTAACATATTAGTTATATTGCTATAATATTTATTATAGTTATATAGCCAGGATATAAGTTGGAATAATCATTTTTATAATTATGATAACAAAAATACTTATATAATGGTATATATGGTAAAAGCTTCTTTTATAGATATTCTTTATTATACACATATATTTTTGAACAGGTAAAAAATAATGTTTAATTAGTCAAAAATAAACATTCTAATTCAATTAAAAAAAATAGCAAGCAATATAACTGACATGTTCTTTTTTAATTTCAATTTACTTTTCCAAATTAAACAGATAAACTTCATAAGTTTATTAGGCATGTTTTATGAATTAGACCAGATTTTATAAAGATGATGGTGATTCGCAAAAGTTTAAAATAAGTAGTGTGCTGTGTAACCTTCTAATATAATGATTTGGCTAGGATAAAAAGAATATTATTCTTTTCACTTGTGTGTTAAGTCTAGTTTTACCTTGGAATATGTACAATTTTTATCATCGGAGCCTCCCAAGACAGCATTGGCGTCTTCTTCAAAATCTTCTTGTTCTTTCAAGACGTCCATCATTGTTACAACTTTTTCTCCTTCGTACTCAGCCATTTCAGCATCTTCACTGGTATTTTTTAAATCCGTAGCCATTTTTACAAATTTTGTCACAAATTAACGCCGATACACAGTTGTAGAAATATTGCAACAAAGAAAGTATAAAGCCGGTTACAACTTACAATACAAATGAGCGCGAACAATTTTTTTTTGCGACATTTAACGACAGCAATATTGAATGAAATGAACGAACTGGGCTGCTAGTATAGTTAACTTATTTCATACCGTTGAGTCACTGAAATTATACAAAATCAAATCTTAATATACAAATCAATAAAACTGTTGACATATAATGTGTGATAATAATTTAAAATGGATAACGAAAAAAAAGGTCATTGCACAGTACCATCTATAAAATAAATTTAGACATAATATACACCCGCGAAAAACGTTAAACGATAACTAACACAATACAACGTTCACAAATTCCATTATATCTGAAATCGATTCATACGTTTTTTGTAAACCGATTTGATTTTAAAATAAATTATTTTTATATTCTTAAATTATAATATTGTTTGATTATTAAAAAAAATGAGTATGTTTTTTCTCACAAAGTTCACATTTCACATTTGTATTTTTATTGTTGTATCACACTGGATACATACGATAACCAAATTATACACTTTTTGTATCTAATTATACGGTCTGGCAACCCAGTCAGAACGAATGGAAATTGGAATGAATGTGTAGTGAAGTCAAACTTGTTATAAGAAGAATGTATGAAAATAAAGATAGAACAATATTGTTTTGTAATCTATTTTTTATAGAATTTAATTATAAAAAAATAATTAAAATAGCATAAAATGATAATTGATAAGTACAAGTGTTTATTGGGGAATTTACATTTTTAAAGTAGGAACGGGACATCTAAGTTTTTTCGCCCATTACCGATGTACAAGAAACCCGCATCGGGAGTCTTGATTTTATGAAAATACATCATACCCGGCCAGTATAAACTCTTTAAATACACCACACTTCCACTTTGCTCTAAAGATAAATTCCAACAACCACTTGGAATATCTTGATCGATTGAATCTAAAAAGTCCATACTGTAGTTATAATCTGGCCTTGTCAATAAATTAGTATTCCAACGGTGTTGTGGGTGACGAATGTGAAGGTAGGATTTGAGCAGTTTCGCATCTGGAAGTGTTAACCCATAATAATTTGGAGAAATAACCACTGTTCCATCAGGTTGCTTTAAAAGCTGGCCTCTTGCACATATTTCTACTTCGTCAGAAATATTGCTTATAGTTGCTGCTATCCTGCTTTCCTCTTTCATTTCATGACATCTTTCAGGATTATTTTCTTCCAAAGCTTCATCTAACACTTTGATTTTTAATGAAGAATCTCCACGGAAAGGAAAAGTAGTCAATAGAGAGAGGTGTTTATATTTTTTCTTTGCTTTAGGGAGGAGGCTCCAGAATTTAAAGTCGGTTGTGTAAAAATATTTTCTGTCATAAATGGCATCGTTGTTTATACCGACCGCTATATGATAGTCTGAATCTACGGCGTATAGCTGTCCCCAATACTGAACATGGCTAAAGTGGCTCTCAACCTGGAGTAGTGTAAGGGAATTCTGCAAGAGTGATATCAGCTCGCTAGAAAGCATCACCCCATTTATGTTTATATATTCCTTGTATTCCCATAATTTGTGGACATTCATTGTCCAGTTCTGTTAATATTGGGTTTCCAAAAATCAATTTTTTTATCTTCCTCTCGTTGATACAGTTATATAACAACATCAAGTTGACAGTTGTTTTTTTTTTCAATAAATGTGATTTGTGACATTTAAAGTAAAATATTATTATATAAAGAAGTTTCTAATCATAGGCACAGTTATTTTACTCTAAGATCTCGATCTATATGGTAGACCCCACATTCTTTCTCGCACCTCTGATATTTTCATGTGCGTCTCTTTTCTATCATGATTACCACTTGTCTGACGGTGAAGGAAAACAACGTGAGGAAACCTGCACGTCTGAAAAAGACACGTGAAGTCCGCCAATCCGCACTTGTTCAGCGTGGTGGATTACGGCCTGATCCCCCTCATATAGAAGGGAGGCCTGTGCAGAGCAGTGGGACGTTAAAAAGGGCTGAATACAATACTTCAAAGAAATGTCTTTAGAATTTATCTGTTTTTCTTGATTTATATAAAAAAATTCAAGACTTTTAATTTTAATTATTCTAGAATATATTTTATTTATGTGGCGAGTTTACGAGTAAACGTGTTTTTTTTCCTAAGGGTCATCAGGGGCAATGTAAGCCGAGGCGCGGTCTCGAATGACAATTACCCGACATCAAATATTTGCGGCTCCTAGCAGGCCCTTTGCTGGTCGTTATTCGTAATGCGACTCTTCCCGTGCCCATTATAAGGAGAACTTTTATTTTATTTATGTTTACTTGATATAACTACTTTGCTCTGACACCTAAAGCCTAATTGGACAAGGACTAAAAATTATAGACATAATTAAGTATTCAAATGTGAGTGTCAAAAAAGTGCACATAGTGTTAAGGTATGTACATAATATATAAGTGTGTAAATATAAATTATACGTAAATAATTAGACAAATTTTTCAAAGAAAAGGATCAAAGACTTTGCAATCCAATTTAATCTAAATGTTGAATTTTGACACTGTTCCTTGTGAGAAATTCAAATTAATTTTAAAAAATTGGCAAAAAATAGTGTCTATACGTTATAAACGTTCATTGCAAAATAGATTTCACAATGATTCGTTATATTGCCATTTTTATTATTACGAGATTCTTATTTTACTCACTAAAATCTATAATCGGAATTAAAGTGTACGGTAAGATAAACTCGCGCGAAAATAATAGTTTGTCTATAGGTCATCTTGTTTTGGATGAAAAAACCTGAGAAGCAAATTACTTATTTTACGAAAAGTGGGAGTCATGTTACTTGTTTGCAGACTCGCGGGTAAAATTCTACGAGAAATATTATTCAGCCAATTTATTGACGTTGATAAGAAATATTCTTTATTTATATCAAAGACGATCAAAAATAAGAAAAAAACAGGCGTTTTTTATTTGTAAAAACATATTTTAGATAAGAAGATATTTTATATATTACACCATTAGAGGCTCACCCTCGCTTCGCTCGGGCTCGTCTCTAGGAATACATAAAATCTCTCCCACGGGAAGCGTACATTTTTCCGGGACAAAAATTGCCTATGTGTTATTCTGATGTATGATCTATATTATTGTAAAGTTTCATTAAAATCTTATCGGTAGTTTTTGCGTGAAAGAGTAGCAAACATCCATACATCCACACATCCTCACAAACTTTGGCATTTATAATATTAGTAGGAAGTAGGATGTAATAATATTAAAAAATAATTTTAATTATGTTATTGGTGCAAGATTGAAGGTAGGTATATTTCACTAAGACATTTGCTAAGATAACTTGGTTTTTAATTTTTAGTTGGCTGTGCCTAATATCGTATTTAGATACTGAAATCATTTTTAGTTTTGAAGAATTTATTTTATTAAGATACTGACTGACCAGTAGATGTAGTTAGTTCATACTGTGTGGAACGCAATAATAACAATAATTCTGATTAATATTTTTTTTGTCTATAAAGGTAGTAATAGTGTTGCTTAACAAGTATTTCAACTTTATATAATAGCAATCTAAATTAATATTTTATCTTCTTTTAAATGACATACGAGTATAAAACAATGATATTGCTCAGATAAATAACTAATATTTTTAATTTTTTAATATTCTTTATGGTTATTTATACATAATATAATAATAGCAACATTAAATAATATTAGTAATTAATAAAGTTCTTAACAAAAAATAATATTTATAAATTATAATAATAACAGATAAAATTAAATAAATAATATTGCTATATTTAATTATTATAATAATATATTTTTTTAAACGTAGTATAGAAATAAAAATCAACAAATATTGTAAGGTACTTTGGTGCCATTTTTTAATTTTTGAAATCATTTTTGTAAACTGTCTGTAACAAGTATATAATATTATACATAACACCTTTAAGACGTCTATAACCTTAGTCTCTCCCGTGACCATGATTGCTGTAAAGCATTCGAAACGTCGGGAACCAAAAATTAAACTAAATCCGCGAAATAATCCGAACAGATAGTTTTATTTAAAATATTGATATTATGTACATTTTAGCTGTTATGTTGAGAATAACAAAAATACATACGATGATTGCCAATAATATATTTGATATTATCCTCCTAGTGCACGCAAGATGGTGCTGCATCTGTATCAGCAATTGGTAAATGGCGATTTAATTTTAGCTAATATTTTTAATTATAAAAAAACGGAGTAATTTATGATTTATTATAAATTTTAAATTATATTTTAGTATTTTAATAAAAAATACAGTGAATTTTTATGCTGTAGCTATTCTACACTAGAGGGCAATACTTGTCAAGCTTCGCTTGCGGTCTCGCACAGATGGCGTTAAGTGTATTGAAACCTAGTATAATAAAATTATTATGTGATCTAAGATTGAAACAATATTTTAGTTAATTGGCAAAAAATCTATGATAAATATTATCAATCAATCAAATAAATCAATAATAAGTAAATGTTATTTGAACTTTCTTAAACATAGAAGATATATTTTCAATGTTTATATGTTATACAGTAGATAGTTATATAGACAGTATATATTTTAAATTAGGTATTATATTTTAAAATATTTTTATTCATAACGTCACAAAATCAAATCTCCTTGTTACATCTTACCACTACTTTAAAGATTAAAGAGGTAAAAACTAATTTTTCGTAGGTTGGGTATTATTATCCTTGAAACTACTGAAATGATTTTTCTTTTATTAGTAAAGTTTGTGATCTGCAAAGCTCTGTAATAAAAGTTCTCTGTAGAGAAAATTTGAGTTTCTTTCGCCGGTTCTTCTCAGGTCTGAGGCTTCTTCTTTCCGAACTGGTAGTAGACTCATGACGTTCAGTAAAAAATTGTAATAATTTAATGCTGAATAAAATATTTTGAATTTGAATTGAATTTAAATAAAAAAAATTGACGACTTGTATTAAAAAAGACTTAACTTCTCAAGTCAATATATATATTTTGTATAGTTATTTTTATATTATTTTATTTTTCATGTACTATATATGAATTATTTTATAAATTTTACTTGATAGATAGATATATATTTATTAGAAAAAAGAATTAAAGAAAGACACCTTTGACATTCTTTTTCAAAATAATTTTTAATTTTGGGTTTGAAGTAGGACATGTGTTGGGATGTGATAGTTAAGTAAAGCTTTTTCGTCTTTTTGAACGCGCATTACTTCCACTGCATCATATACAAGAGAGCAGAATATTATTGTTGTATGGACAACATATGAATTAATATCTAAAAACAGTTAAATTTTACTTAAAATGTTCGAAAAATAAATAAACAGCTTGCGCTCTACGTTTTCGCGCTTTTATAGTAACGGCAGCCACCATAATTTGGCCTATATAGAAATAGTCGTAGACAGTTCTAAAAATGTAATTGAGGACGTATTTAAACAATCAAGCTGAACTATCAAGCGTTTTCAACAATACATTGATTTTCCAGCACGTGCCGAGAGCGGGATGCTCCAGCGTGTCGGCGTCGGCGCGTCGCAGGCGCGTGTCGAATCACCGCGGGCTCGAGTGCCAATCGAAACACGTGTTTTCTTCATTGTTTCATAAACGCTAAGTGCGGAAATAGTCTTTCCATTTTGCTTTGTTTTACTTTAATTTAACTACTTGTAACTTAAAGGTTCCATGCTGTTAAAGGTAATGAATAATAATGGTGGAGGAAACACTATGAGATTAATCTATTTTTGTCCATTTGTCAAAATAATTTTCTTAGGAATGAATAGAAGTCGCAAATTAAAATATACTAACATTAAATACTAAATCCTATTTGGAGTAGGTGATGCGTTCTGTTAGTTTTCATTCGGAATAAAGAACGATTCGCCCTTGATTATTTTTTATGTAGAACCCAGAGATGAACAATTGCTTCATTTCTTGTAGTACCTACTTATTGCTGGATATATGAATTTCAGTTATTTAATTAATGAACTGAGAGCTCGTGATTTCTATTTAAGTAAAGAACACATATTTTGTCGTATCCTAGAAAGTATACCTATAACAATTTACATTATTTCACAATTGCTGTAAAAGAAAACCGATATCGCCCTAGAATGATTTGAGAAATTGAGAGAATTGAGAAATTAAAAAAACATCCAAATTTCAATAGGGAAGATGGCTGGGTACTACCATCGTCATGGAATCCTGTTATTAATATAATAAAATCAAATAATAAATATAAACATAACAGACAGGTAGATGTAGTAAGTTCTTACTGTGTAGATCAAAATGACAGCTTATCAGATTAATATTTTTCATTTTTCATTTGTAAAAGTATATAGTAATAGTGTTGCTTAGTAAGTTGTTCTTAAATAATAGCAAACTAAATTAAAATGATTATCCTTAATTAACTTTAACTTTTTTAAATTACACATAGAACAATTATATGGCTTAAATAATTAATACTATACTTTATATTTTTCTTTATGGTTATAAATATAATAATGGCAACACTAAATATAGACTACTAATTAATATTTTTAAAATTGTAATAATTATAAAAATAATAGCAAA